TCATTCCAAGGTGCTGGATTGTTGAAGTGGGGGCACAGAAAATGCGCCACAGGTGCAAATTGGGCAGATCAGGTTGCACCACCCAGTTTACATAAAAAACCAATTTCTGCTTATGTCCTAAATGCTGTCTGCCTCTGGGATTCCCCCCCCCAGTCTTCTCTTATGCCCAATCCTTTCCCAACTTTTGCTTCATCTCTCTTCCCTAATTGACAGCATGCTTTTCCCTCTCTGTTCGCTGATGCTGCTTCACCCTCTTCCCTTGTGCTGGTCTTTTGCTGTGTGTCCATGTCTCTTTTTTCTTCTTTTGTTTTGTTGTCGCTGCGTGCTGTTCTATAAGGATGCTACTATGTGCTGTGTTGTTAGGTTACTGCTATGGGCTGTTGTTAAAGAAAATTGCTAGTGGAGGTGCTGGTGGGGCTATTTAATGTTGGTCTTTCTTTTATGTTTTAGTTAAACTTAATGTGACTATTGAGTTGTGTAGTACATTACAACCCTTCAATTTTATTTAATTAAATGTTGTGATTTAGGAGTTATCTTTGTTATTTTTTATGTGTATAATTTTGCATTTTAGTTAAAACTTACAATTTTTGTTAAGATCCAAAGATCCTATTCCTCCATTCCAATGTAGGAACTTGGAACTCTATTTTGACAACCCTGAATTTCATGACAAATTAATCCTTCCAACATGAAGTTGATTGACAACAATAACAACTAAGCCTTATTTTATTAGGTGAGATCGATTACATGGATCATACAATGCTATTAAGTTTGGTCAAATCTTAAATTCTTATTGCTAGATCCTTTCTAACAAATTTTTTTAAGTTCTTTTAGGTCTCCCTTTATTCTTTTTCACTGGACTAAAAGTCATGCAATCTATTATTCTTATTGGTGTCTTCGGTAATCTTATTTGTGTGACCAAATCACTGTAATCTCTTTTTTGCACTATTGGTTGGTGCTAACCCATGATTTTGTTGTATATAATAATTTCTGATTTTGTTCTTTTTCCTGTGATCATTTATCCATTTTCACAACTCTCACTTTTTTCACATATTGTTCTTTTAAAGTCCAACATTTACTAGCATATAGGGACTAAATTGGTCATGAAGTTGGCAGATTTAAGGAGTTAATTGTCATGAAGTTGAAAGATTCAAGGACTAGGTTGACAAAAAAGGACTAATTTGTTGTGAAGTTCATTGATTTTTGACTGACCTCAATGATTGTTGTTGTTATACATTATTTTAGTTAATGCTGTTGGATATAGTGTATGTTAAGTGCATTGTTGACTAACAAAAGTGGGATGTTGATTTGTCTAGCTTGGATTATTCTTACTGTCATTTTGTTTCATGAATTGACCATTAGTAAGACCTATGGGTCATCTTTCTATCATAATTGATGTTATAAATTCATTACGTTATCCATATATTTTCAGCTCCGTCCATGCTCATTATTGTCTGAAGCATTTTATTTTGAGAAAATTAATGTTTGATCACCAAAAGATTGGATTTACATTACCTTAATCTTCCAATATTTATTTGCTGGATCACATTAATTTCCATGGTTGATTCAATCAGTTCCTTCAACAGATTAAATTGATTTAAACCCAAATTTTATGCAGCTATATTTCCTTGTTTGAGTCATTCAAATAGTGATGTAGTTAACTGTTGTAAATGATCTTTGGAGAATCAAATCAATTTAAACACCATCTGTTAAGGATTGATATATTGATTTATTTTATATTTCATTTAAATTAAAATGATTCATTAAGCTGTTTTCTTTTTTCAGAAATACATGACTTGGAAGAAGACTGGAGAAGAGATGAATTTTACGTATGTTGAGTGCTTGTTGTACACATTTCATCACCTAGCCCATAAGGTGGGTTACCTTACGTTTATCTGAGCATTCAGATAATGTTGTACTGATGTGTGAGTCACTTATATTTGGTGTGCAATTGAACTTGGTGATGATGTAGGTTCCAAATGCAACAAATAGTTTATGTGGATACAAAGTTGTTACTGGCCAGCCATCTGATAGGCTTGGAGAGGACTTTTCAGAGCATTATAATGATTTTACTGAGAGGTATCATCACTCTTTCATAAATTGCAGTGTAAATTATTCAACTATTCAGTGAATAATAGTTTTGCCTTGGTTATCAAGTTTTGGGTTAATTAGACTGCATATGGTTTAAATTTGAGGTGTTATTGTAGTTTTTCATAACATTTATGCTTGTGATTATTCTAAGTTTTATAGTGTGACATGGGTTACAAAGAATGCCAGTATGCAATTTCTAGTACTGAATATTCTTGAAGATGTAGTTAATCCAATGAGTTCCATTGAGGTGGACAACTTGAAACAATATGGTTGAACAAATATTAAGATATTATGAGTTTGTTTGCTAAACAAGATAGGATAAGAAATAATAAGATATGAGTTTGATATGGATAAGATGAGCTAATAGTAGGATCAGCTCTTATTTTATTATATATTTGATGCAAATTAAAATAATAAATCAGCTTTCCTTGACATTCCTTTTTTTTTTTTTTCTCTCAAACCGTTTTTCCCTTCTTGTCTCTGTGTGTGTTATTTTAATCACAGCCATGCTTCTGCCATGACCCACCATCCGCCCTTCATAACATTGATTATAAGATAACTTAATAGAATAAATTATCTTATTTTGAATTGATGCCTTTTAAGTTTCTTTGTCCTTTTCTTTTTTCTTTCCATTTGTTAGTTGGAAACTAAGCAGATTAGCTTGCCTCCATCATTTATGGAAACTCATGCTACTACCCTTTAATTTGTCAACACAATTGCTGCTTTCTTCCTTGATAATTCCACCATTCTTCAGATATGGGTGCATCAATTGCTCTCTCTTCCCCTTCTGATTTCTTGAGTTCATTATTAGTGAGTGTCAACTGGGTCCAATGTTTAAGCAATGTCTGGTAGGTTTTGAAGACATTTGAATTGTATGAAGCATGCAAAAGTGGCAGGGTCCGATTAAGGTTTTATGTTAAGAAACTATTTGCAGAGTATCAGTCTAAAGTCTAATAAACAAACTTCAGATGTCATTGTCTAGTAAACTTTTCCATGTTTTACCATTCCACCCCCTTGTATATTTATCTCTCTTCAGGTTTTTTTTCCTTGTATTTTCTTTGCTTTTCTTGTCACGTTTTTGGTTTATTTTCATTTTTTAGATTGAATAATGTTGAGGAGTTCACCCGGGCTACAATCAAGAAATTAACTCAAGGAATGGCTGAAAACAACAAATCTATGGCAGATGCTAAAACTGATGAAGAGAAGGAAAAAATTGTGAGTCTTACATGTTTTTTTACGGCTCTCTGTCATGCCTTTCACTGATTATATCATGCTTACATTTTTACATCATTTTGCAGAAAACTAAAAAGCAGAATGCTACAACTGGGTTGCGGACCTGCAATAACATTTTGACAATGACAAAGGTAAGAGGGTTGCAACCATTTTAACCTTTGCAGATGAGTTATTGACTTGCTGCTAGCAGGATTTTAAATTGATACCCCCTTCCACCAATTTTTCTCATTATTATTATATTGTTTGATTTGTTTGGTCAGCCATTGCACGCTAAAGTGCCTTCTTTTATTGGAGATAAGAGAATCAACCTTTCTTGGAAAGAAGCAACAAAAACTGCATCTTCTAACACTCCACCTGCTGGGTATATTATCTTTTCCTTTGCTCTAAATGATTGTTTTATAGCTTTTTTTCTTTCTTTTAAGAAATGGAAGTACTTTTTGACAAGTTTAAATTTTTTTGGAATAATTAGATGACTTTTTCAAGGAAAAAAAAACCTGTTTAGCGCATCTTCCAGATACTTTAAAAAGTAGCTTCTGGAAAAATGTTCCAAGAGAATGTTATCACACAAGTACTTTTTTACAATGCTTATCCAATCCAAATACTTTTTTTAATCTTTTGAGAGTAACTTGTTTCATTGTCTCTTTGAGTGATACCTAGCTGTTACTGACAATATAGATAGAAATTTTTTTTTTCTTAAAGATCTCATTTGGATAGGGAGTTAGTACAACAGAATTATAAATGAAATTGATCAACTAATCTATTTAGTTTATACTTCTGCAGAGCAAAACGCCCAGCTAATTCCGCCAATGGATCCAACAATATTGCATCAAAGAAGGGTCGAGGTGCTGGTGGTTTGCAAAATCAGCTTGTCAATAGAGCGCTGGAAGGATTATCTGGTGGCGGGAGAGGGGGTATGAGGGGCAGAGGCCGGGGCTGGGGTGGTCGTGGAAGAGGAAGAGGGTATCGGTAACTTTGTTGCAGATGTTGTGTGGAACATCAGATTTCACCAGACTGTACCAGAATACGAAATAGGACCCGTTAATGTACTAAAATTCTTTGTCAGAGGAAGTTTTGATTATAGGGGACGATGAGATTTTAATTTAGCTGCACTTTCTACAAAGCTTGTTTATGTAGAATGATGAGTTATTGATAATTTTCTAATCCATTTGTTATTGCAAGCAGCAGATGAGGACCGGCTAACCAGAAAGTATGCTCGTTATGTATGCATGTAATTTAATGATGAGTGCACTTATACGAAGACCATATCTCACTAGTGGAAATGTTACCCGTATCAAAAATATGAAGTTAAAATGGTTAGGTTCTAATTTCAATTGTCCCCGAACGTTGTCAATCTTAATGCATTCAGTGAGGGTATGTCGGCAGGGAGGGTTTTGAAAAGGAACAAAGATAGGAGGAAATTTGTTAATTTTAGATTAATTTTTTTAAAATTTATTTATGATAATAAATTTATATTATATTAATTTTATGTTAATATATTAATTTATATATTTTATTTTTATTTTCTTTAAAATATATTTATTTAAAATATAAATTTGTCTTTTCTTCCTTTTCTTCTCCAAAATCTTTTCTTGAACAAACATGGAAAAGTTTTGTTGAATAGAAACCTTAAAAAAAAAGCTAATGATTAAGGTACAGGGTTAGTTATATTTGCTAGTTGATCAAACGTTGTCATTTGTAACCGTTGGTGCGGAAGACACCGTTATGATTTGTGGTGATTGAGGAGCCATTCCCTGCTGATGCTTAACGGTGTCAATGGTGTTGATGAAGTCCCCTCTGGGAGAACAATAAGTGACATCTTGCTGTTCCTTACTAGTGTTATTATACTTCCTTCCAAAAGTCTGCTTAGCTATTATAATCACCCTTTTCCAGGGCCTCTCATCTCTTGGATTGCCATTACGTTCTTGTTCCTCATCTTGGCGTGTTTGACTAGATTTTATCGACTGAATGGTAGAAATTAGAAAACAAACGGTTGAAGTGGCACCAGAAATCACGTAGAGAACCCAGAAACTTCCAAGCTTCAACCTTTCTGTATTCTCAGAAGTCGAATTGTAGCATGCGCCTGCGGGGTTCAACCATTTCTCTTCTAACCTCTTCAATTCTCCCTGTTCTAAGAGCTGCAATATAGCTTTAGAAACATCTCTGGTCAAAGGAGAGCCTTTCTGGAACATCTGCATCATGGGATTGATGGGTAATTACCATAAACAAATTGACTAATTTTGCAAAGATACAAGGCATATTGTAACACAAAGCTTGAGTGCTTTTGAGCTTTTCTTTGAAGCCAGAGCTTCAGAATATTTATAAGAATGGGGTTTAGTTTTGTTGAATTATATATAGAAAACAGTTAGTTCATATAATGGTAGTTTTGAGAAGAATTGTACTGTTACATACAAATCCCAGTCCTCCAAATGTGATGGTAGGTGTAGAGGCAGAGTACCCCTTGCAGTATTGACTGATGTATACTTTTTCATAAGGGAGTTCGAGAATAGCAGCTGCTATTGAGTTGTTTCTGAATGCATCGTCATAACTGTATTCACTCTTAATGTTTACGATGTTCTCTGGCTTGAATTTTTCAACTTGCTCTAGGTATGTCCAAACAAATGAGTCTCCATCACAACCAATTTTCATGTTATTCTTCTTCAGGCACTCAATATCCGTTGTATTTGGTTGCAGCCGTTGAACTGTGAGCATTGAAGAAAGACTAGCGGTGTAACTTGAGTTAAGAATCAAAACTAGAAACAGCCACGATATCATCACCACACGAGTCAAGTTGCTATACATTTTCTCCCCTGCAACATGAAACCATAGGCATCAATTTAGTTAAATGCAAATCGGGATTTTTTTAATTGTATTTTAACATGTGCAGTAAGAGTTTATATATAATATTTTTTTTATTCTAAATCACATACTAATATTTTTTTACTACAATACCTCTGTTGAAGTTATTGCAATAATTAGGTGGTGACTACAAAGTTATTTGGCAAAAGTTATCTTTAATAAATAAGAGTGTTATTGGAAAAAAAAGTGATAAATACTATTTTGATATTATAAAGTGACAAGTAATTTAAGACAAATAAAAAATTTCAAATAATATTCAACCAAAAACTTACTATTTGTTAATCTCTAGTTGTGTACTCGGACACAAATTTCAAAAAAACGTTTATTTATACTGTTTTCCAAAACTAAAGTTGATCAATGTTGTTAATTGAATTAGAAGCTTGATACTCACTATGAGCAAAGAATAGAGAGGAGAAGGTAAACGTAAGAGCAATGCTGATCTGGCTTTTCCAATTGCCATGAAACTCTGGATTGGGTTCCCGCTCCAAGTACCACACTATTAACATGGTGTAAAACAAGATGGCACCAGTTGCCCCCCACATTTGCCAGGTGAAGGGCATCATAAACATCCATGCCGATTCTTTGGACTTTTCCTTAACTATCATTGACAATCCTGATTCTGCGTATGGCACAGTAAAATCTACATATTGCAATCTTTCTGCTAGTATGGTTATGTCGCCAACCACAGCCTCATAAGTCTTCAATCATTATTAAACCACATGCCAACCATAAAAGTATTAGATTAGTAAAACAAGAAAAGAGCATAAAAATAATAGAATTGTACGGAAAGTTCAAAAGTAATCAGAGTCAACGTTGCACTTTAGGACAAGTGAATATTTTATTTATTTATTTGTTTTGTCGATTAGAAAGGAACTTGGTCATATAGGTTTGCCTTCCTAGCAATAGCTAGAAAGATTCGCACAAAGAGGGCGTTAGTTCCCACAAGGAAAACACAGAAGGTTGCACAAGCAAATAGGAACATCTTGAATAAGCATAAGAAAGAACTCTGAATATACTATTGACCATTTTGTGGCATGTGTGTGAGCAAAATAGAAGATATTTAACAATATACACAAGAAATAAAGGGCTTTTCCGTAGAATGAGTAAGGTTTTACCTTGTTATAGACAAGTTGAACCAGATCGGGGTAGGTTCCATTGATAGGATGATACTCATATGGCAGATCATACTCCAAAAGGCCTAAAACCTTCTCAAAAATTTCAATGCAGAATCCACTATATTTGTATTGATTTACATGCTCGTCATAATCAATCTTCACAAACTTGGAAAATGAGGTTCTTCCAGGGACACCAATTTTCATTGGATTTTGTTTAGTAGGCAGATTCCAGCCCTTTGGAACTTTCAGTGATTTCCCGGGCCAAATTACAACCCCACTTAAAATTCCTGTGTTCCTAGAAGCACTATTTGAAGCTTGTAATGTAGGGAGGCTAGCGATGAACCCACGTTCTAGAGTCCAAAAGTCTAATTCTCTGTAACTCTTCTTATCTACATTTACAATCCTTAAGGTAGGATTCTGCAAGAGCTGCCCTGCTTCAAAAAGAATTTGTCCACTTAATCCATGGAAATTGCTGGACAATATTTCTTTTAGTAGTGTCTTTCTGCCACTACCATTGCCACTGGCCATTCTATCTATTGCTCGTGCAACAATCTTAATGCTATCATACGCTTGCAGAGCATAAAATCCTGGGTTGCGGTTATCTTCCTTCGGATACTTGGCCTGAAAAGATTGCCGGAACTGAGCCTCAAAATTTTGATACTCTCTGCTATTTTCAGAATAGTAGGTCTTGATTCCTAAAGCTCCTTCCATATAGGAAATGGAAGACTTATTGATAGAGTCCATCAAGTTAGCTATGCTCTCTGGGAATATCCAAGCTGATTCTCTATCCACAAGGCCTATCTGTGAAGCTTCTCTGAACAAATGAATAATCATTTCTAATGATGATTGAAGAACAATGAATACCCGAGATTGTGTATTTTTAATCAACTTAAACAGCTCTTCGCGAATGAACTCTGTGGGATTAGGCAGATAAGAAGGTGATGGAAGAGTTAAACGGTATTCAATCATTGAACCAACATCTTGGAGGGCCTCAGATAGCAGTGCTAGCATTCCATAGTCTCCACCATTTGCATCATCTTCATAAATCACTACTACTCTCTGCCAACTATAAGCATGCACCAAATCTGCAACACATTTTACATATGCATTACTATTGTTAACCATGCTTACCAAAAAAGGCCAGCGAATTGGCATCAATGGCGGGGTAATGGTTGGAGCTGCGAAGGATATAACAGGAACTTGAGTTTGACGTCCTAATTCAGCTACTGAAGCTGCTTCTATCCATGTGTGCATCCCTATAATCACTTGCACCTTCCTTGTTTTAATCATCTCTTCAGCTGCAAGAAAGAGGTTCATGTCAATATTTCACATATTTAACCAAGTTAAACCAAAAAGGCATAAAAAAAAAAATAGTCCTTTTGTTAGCAAATGATTGATATTACTAACCAAGGGAAGTGGGTCTGACGGGTTCTTTGTTGGGTTCCTGAAAATAAAGAGCCAGCTTGTAGCTCTTAAAAGTATTATTGTAATTTTGAGCTGCAATGTTCATGGCTACTCGCTGTTCTTTCCCAATGCGTGAGTTAACATCAATGATTGCACCTATAGATACAACTTCGCTGTCTCCATTTGTAACCTCAGCTTGGTGGCCATCAATGAAAAGAAAGTAAATGAATAAATAGGAGAGGCAGATTCTTGCAAGTGCTTGAGATGGGAAATTCATTTTGTTTCAATTTCTTTTGCTCATGAACTATATGCATTTGTTAGAAAATTTGTGCATGGACAGGTTTCTATGGAATAATTTCATGCAATGCAATATATGAGTAAAGTTTTGAGGAGAGAAGCCATGAAAAATGGATATAAATAGTACTACTAGACACCAGTGATTTTGTGGGGACTGGAACTTTCCTTTTTGATCTGGTCAATTATGCAAGGCTTGTGACTACAAGTTAGCTACAAAACAAGGTCGATCTTGGAAGAAGATCTAAGTTCAATTTAAATGGTGTAGAAAATTGAACACACAAATTGCTCTGAACCTTCAGAGATTGGAGACTTTGAATGGTATGTTGAAATGGGGTAATGGAATCTGGAGACAATTCTATTGTCTGAGATATTATTGATCCCTTCAAATTGAAACGTCGACCCGTTCAAAATCACGTTAATGAATGTTTAAAAAAAGAGAAATATTAATTTTATGGACTCATGAGGAAATCATCATGTGAGCAAACGTACTGTGTACTTTGAAAAAATGTTTTGGTTTATATTTTTAAGGAAAGTGTTAAGACATAAAAAATAAAAATAATTTGTTGAAGAGAAAGGTTAGTAACATATTCTTTAACACATTCTTTTTTTTAAATATTTTTAATTATTGACTAAAATTTATTAAAAATTATAAAAATTTTGTTGGTCTTACTTTTAATTTAATAATTTTTTCTTGTATTTTTATAGTTTTTAATAAATTTTAATTTCATAAATATATTAAAAAAAGTATTAAAAATGTACTTTTAACATTTTTTATATAAAAATGTAAAGATATATTTATTTTTGTATTTTTATCTGTATTTTAATATAATTTTTAATGAAAAATTATGATTCCTTAAAATCTTAACTAGTGTCTTAAGAATATTGATCAACAAAATTTTATTTTAATTACAAAATTGATCATCGTAATTTTATTTCATGTTTTTTTTTTTTCAAAAACTTGTATGATAAGTAATGAAAATAATTTTTTTAAATATTTTTAGTTTTTCATGTATAAATATTTAAAAGTATAATTATTTTCTAAATGTATAATTATGTATTTTTTTTTACTCTAATTTACTCTCTTTTCAATCCTTAAATTTTAAATGCACAATTATGCATTCTTTAAATCTTTTAAAATATATTAGTTACAAATTTTTTTTATCAAATATCGAGAGAAATAGTCACACTTAAATAATTTTCTAGAAATTTAAGAATTGTATTACATATTTTTAAAGTTTAAAAATTAAGACTGATTTTGACATATTATCTCACTCTAAATTAGGATAAGTATTAAAAAAATTTAAATTTTTTTTTTAAAATATCAACATTTTATTAAAGATAAAATCAGAATACAAGTACTCTAACCCATTATATCTTTAAGAAGAATTAACAATACATGTGAAGAAATCATTAATCCAATTTATATATGTCTTGTCACGAGTCACTTTCAAGAATGATACTTAATAGAATTAAACATTTTACTAACATTATTCTTCTCAAGATACTAATGTAAACCATATAATTACAACTCTTTTCCATTTCTTTTTTCCACATAGAATTCTACATATGCTCATTAATGTCTCATGCAAATTTTCAATTAAGAATATATTGATACTAGACCGTTCGAATACCAAGTGTCTCACAGAAGTATTGTAATGCAAAAAAAAATGCAGAAGCTCTTGATCTTTAGTATCACAAATACCACAAGTTTATGTGAGAATCATCAATTTGTGTTTGATTAAATTTCTTCGCATTGAAAAAATTACATTAAGCAACATATGCCTCTCGAATACCATTACTTTTCTTGGTGCACAAATCTTCCAAAATTTGCATAATACTTGCATTAGACACAACTCCAAACCGCTACTTGCAATGCAATGAACTACGGTCTTTATTATCATTTTACTTCCACATCAACGTGTCATTCACATTTTTTCTCTGCCTTTTATCTTTCATAGTCTCTCACAATTGTTGCTATAAATCCTCCTTTCATGCAAATAATTGCTTTCTCCAATAAATTTCTCATACTTATTATCTCATCTCAAATCATCTATTATCCATTATCCACATCATTTTATTAGTTACTATAAAAAATAACCTTAGCAATTTATTCCTCTAAAAACTAAAGAACATCGTCACCGATTCCTAAAGTAAAGTTTAAAAATACAAATATAATTTGAATTTTGTTCCAACATATATTTTACAATTCTACAACATAAATCACTCACTTTAAAGTATAATAAATTTTATAAAATCAAGATGGCTTAAATACGGTGGTCCAAACAGTCCCTAAAACAACTATCTACGTAGACTAAATTGACAAGACGACCATGGATCCTGGTGACTGTTGTTCCGCTCCAAGAAGTTTCAACTTTCGTATCGAACGGGAAATGTGGAAGTGATTGAACTTATGGAGCAGTGCCACACAACACAAGCACTTGACTTGAGCCACTATACGAGAGCAGTTACAATTCAACCATCCATATAGCTGTGTTTTTCCAGAACCTGGTTCTCACGTTTTCGATTCATTGATGTCTTCCCCTTCCATTTTTTGGTCCAAAACTTCAAATGTTTGCCACTTCCTTCCTCCACTCATATTCTTCTTTTCCTTATTTCACGTTGGAGCTGAGGCCACCAACAATCAAAATGTCGTTGCCATAGGAGCAATCCTCAACCTTAGCTCTCGTGCTGGCAAGGAAGAGAAAGTTGCTATTGAACTTGCAGCTCGAAATTACAACGGCAGTTCAAAGTACCATAAGCTATCTCTACATTTCGACGATTCCAGAGGGATCGCCATAAGAGCATTTTCTATCGGTTAGTTTTCACTTGAAATAGTTGCTTTAAGTTTCTATGGTTTCAAAAATATGTTTTCTATTTTCAATTACCAAACTGTCTCCTTATTTTAGTTCAATTTTTAAATATTTGAATTAAAAAATAATGGAAAATAACTTTTATTTTGCTTTTTTTTTATTTTTGTATAATTTTTACAAAAAAAAATTAGACTAAAAATAGTTAAGAATTTTATAATTTAAAATAAAATAAAAAATGTTACTGAAAAAAACAACCCTGTTTCTTGGAATTTCTCTCAAAACAGTATAAAAATTATTTGTATGCAGCCGAAGAGATGATTAGAATGAAGAAAGTGCAAGTGATAATTGGCGGGCTCTCATGGCAAGAGGCAGTTTTGGTAGCTGAGGTTGGAAGTCAAGCTCAAGTTCCTGTTATTTCATTTGCTGCACCAGTCACCACCCCACTGTTGTCATCATTTCATTGGCCTTTCTTAGTATTAATGGCTAACAATTCCACTGCATTTGTAAAATGTGTTGCTGATGTAGTTCATGCCTACAATTGGCAAAGAGTTACTGTGATTTATGAAGAGGATGCATATGGTAATGCTTATGGGATGCTAGCATTTCTATCTGAGGCACTGCAAAATGTTGGTTCACAGATTGAGCTCTCTTTGGCTCTTCCTCCTTATTCTTATTCTTCTGTGGCTCATCCTGGTGGAGAAGTTCAACTAGAGCTGCTGAAGCTACTCAACACTCAATCTCGTGTCTTCATAGTTCTGCAGTCATCAATACCTATGGTAACTTGTTTGTTTGCAGAAGCTCAAAAGATGGGACTTGTGGATAGGGAAACAGCTTGGATAGTTCCAGAAAGCATTACATATATGCTAGATTCTGTTGCTGACTCTGTCATTTCTTCTATGGAAGGTGTTTTGGGAATCAAGACTTATTCCTTACAAAATAGCACTGAATATCAAAGTTTCCACGTTCAGTTCAGAAAAAGCTTTCAAAAAGAAAATCCAGAAGATGACCCTAGACCTGGATTTTATGCTCTGCAAGCATATGATAGCATTGGAGTTGTTACAAGGGCCATGGAGACATTAAGAAATGATATCAGTAGTCCTAAGATATTTCTAAAAGAAATGCTGTCTTGCAATTTCCTTGGTTTGAGTGGAAAAATAGAATTTGAACATGGGCAGGCCTTGCCCTCACCTATATTTAGGATTGTAAATGTAATTGGAAAGAGTTACAAAGAAATAGACTTTTGGACAGAAGAGTATGGATTCTCCAAAACCCTTTCCTTTGAATTAGCTGGTCAGAATGCAATAGAAGGTTTGGCTGGTCCTGTAATTTGGCCTGGGAATTTAATGAGGCCTCCAAGGGGTTGGAGTATGCCTACAAGTGCAAAACCAATGAAAATTGGTGTTCCAAGAAAGACTCCATTTGAGAAGTTTGTGAAGGTAGAGAACAATGAATACTCAAATCAGACCAAGTATAGTGGATTCTGCATTGAAATTTTTCAAAAAATTATTGATCTATTGCAGTATGATCTACCATATGAAATAGTTCCCTTTAATGGAACCTATACTGATCTGGTTTTTCTTGTCTATAACAAGGTAGGTACTTCTATTATTCCTTTGTTTCTTTCTAATGCCTTTTGTCTAATATCTGAGAGAACATTTTGGGATATTTTTGAATTTAACTTTGGAGAGAGAGAGAGAGAGGGGGGTCCTCTTTGGGTGAACTTTAAAGTCTTTATAAAAGAAAAAAATTAGTATAAATAATGAATCAAACTTACTTCTATAAATTAAAAATAACAAATTTTAGAAAAGTTAAATGAAAGAGTTTCTCAAAACTTTTCAAAAATAGAGAAGTATAAGTTGTTTTAAACTTATGGGAGAAGTTTTATTAATTTTTTATATTTATTTTTTCTTCTATAGAGACTTATGCAAAACTTTACTCAAATAGGACCTATGGCTCAGACATTTTGTTATTTGCCCTTAAGGCCTAAATTCCCTTTGTTAACTATTTGTTGAGTAAATACCTTTTTAAGTCCTTAAAATTGTAAATGTTGATTAAATTAGTCCTTAATTTTATAAAAATCTAAGTTTAGTTCTTTTTTACTTCATTTTTTATTATCTTTTTTATATAAAAAAGATTAGAATGAATATTATTTTGTAAAGTCAAGGATTAAAGTGATACTTTTGTAAAGTCAAAGACTAAAATGATATATACTTACAATTTAAGGGACTAAAATGAGTATTTACTCATTATTTGTTCATTATTTTTATTACAACCACCTTACTAACAAAAATTCTCGATACCTGCATTTTGGATGGGGAAAAAAAATGGAGACTTTTGATGCCGTTGTTGGTGACTTAACCATTGTGGCTGATAGAATGCAATACGTGGATTTTACATTGCCATATGCAGAGTCAGGATTGTCAATGATAGTTCCAGCAAAATCTGAGGATACAACTCTGATTTTTATGAAGCCCTTTACTTGGGAAATGTGGATCGTTATAGTTTCTGTCTTGATCTACACCATGTTAACAGTTTGGTACTTAGAGCGGGATTCCAATCCAGAATTTAGTGGTCCATGGAAGACTCAAATCAGCATTGCTCTATGGTTTACTGTGTTTTCTCTATTCTTTGCCCACAGTATGTATCATTGACAACATTAGAAGGCCACTTTATACTTGTGGAATACACACATAAAATTTGTAATAGAAGCATTCAATTATGAATAAAAAATTTCCAATAACCATTGTTCCTCTTGCAGGGGAGAAAATCTATAACAATTTCACTCGAATGGTGATTGTTGTGTGGCTCTTCCTTGGTTTGATTCTAACCTCAAGCTACACTGCTAATCTATCCTCAATGCTCACCGTTCAACAATTACAACCAAATGTTAAAAATATTGAGTCACTTAAGTGGAGCAACTCTAAAATTGGTTTCTCAGGTGATCCATTTGTGAGAAAATATTTGGAAAGCGTGCTTCATTTCAAATCACAGAATATTATCAAAGTTAGCAGGGAGTACAACTATACCGAAGAGTTCAAAAGCAAGCGTATAGCTGCTGCATTTATTGAAATCCCCTACGAAAAGGTATTCATGAGCAAGAATTGTAGAGGATATTCTGCCTTCACACCTACCAACAGATTTGGAGGACTAGGCTTTGTAAGTAATAACAGAAACTTATTTTGGAAATTGGAACTCTATTTACCTTCTTTTCTAAATGGAAACTGAAAATCAATCACTGATAGTTTTAGTTGAACATGATATTCATAGACTATGGTTATGGACGTTACATATGTGATACAATCACAAATATCAAAGCAGACACCTTATTTTAAGGTTTGATTTGAATTTTAAATATTAAGTTTTAGGATATTCCTGATGTAGATGAAATTGAAGTCAAAGGAAGAGAATAATGCCGATGTACTAAATCATTAACTTATTCAGCTATATTACTTTACATTCAATCTTTCTTTCAACACACTTGGAAATAAAGGTCAAATATTCCATGCTCTCTCAATATGCAGATGTTCCAGAAAGGTTCTCCAATTACCAGGGACTTTTCCAAAGGTATATTGCAGCTCTCAGAGAATGGAGACTTGAAGTCACTAGAAGATAAATGGTTGAACAACCCGGATGAGTGTTCAACCAATATAACTACCAATGCCAACGGAAGTTTGAAGCTTCAAAGCTTTTGGGTTCTTTTTGCAGTTTCTGTTTTCACTTCAACCTTTTGTGTGATAATATCCATGGTGTTGTCAATGAAAAATAATGAACAGTATCAACAAGCATTTGAAGGAGATTGTGGGTGTTCAGCTGTAGAGACTGTCTGGAAGAAGGTGCTCATTCTAGCAAACTATATATACTATACAGAAAGTAGTAAACAAAGTCAAGCCTTAAATTCAGCTCATATAGAGGGTGTAGAAGAATTCTCTTTGGAGCTCCAACAAGGCAGCACTTCTAATACATTGGATCAAAATTAAGCTTTGCCACCACCAGAAAGCTCCTTCTCAACATAAGGAACTGAAATTCTGTAGTTAGTGCCCTCCAATAGAAAACAAAATTGCTGAGGTCAAGGGTAATTTAAGTATTTTACTTCAAAATTATGTTATTTTACCTTACTTGTGTTTCAGTGTGAAAATTGTAACTCTGGTTAAACAAAACAAAGGAAAGTGCCTTTCGGATTGTCTCAAAGGCTTGTAGAGTTTTGGTTCCTTTGATACTGTGGCTTCAGCTTTCCTCTTGAATTTTATTATTATTCTACGTTGTCATAGTTGGATCCCTTAACGCTCTTCATTTGTGAAAGATAATATAACAAAAGTCAATCCCACAGTATTGATTTATATTCATTAAAATTTATCATGTTCTTGTCATTTATATCTTCTCAGCACTTATTCTAAGACCTTAACATATTTGTAGACACCCGTGTTACAATATTAACTAATCTTCCATACAATAGAAGATCACACAAATCATTTTTCTCGTTCATTTTCTAGAGTTGAGAAATACATGAATGACTTTGGTTTATAAATAGAAAACATGATAATCGTCGTTTTTCACATCCCGATTTTGAAATTTCTTTACTAGCTAGTTACCTGACTTAAAATCTTAAAATGCAGTGAAGGGTTGCTGTTGTTGGTATAGTCAACATTTGATGTACATTCCTATTTAGGCATTTACTGCCATAAACAAAAGGCACTACTAGTAATGTTTATCTATCTCTGGTGGAATTGGAGTTTCACTTTAATTCAAAATCCCAATATCGTTAAAATCCTCATTGAGTGGCAATGACTTATTTTCAAATTGAGGAAACTTTGTTTTGAGTCCTTAGTAGCTCTTGAAAGTACTAATATGTTAAGGTCTTAGAATTTATAGATAACATTTTCATTTTCATTTTCTTTTATCCATTTTCATTTTCTTTTAGATTTGGTGTATCAATTTATGGTTAATATTTTAGGTTTAGCAAGGAATTGGGTGTAAAGATAAAAAAAAAATTAAATAAATGTATTTTTTAGTTTTTGTGTCAATTAAAATATATTTTTAATATTTAAAATTCTATAATAAAAAATTATTATATTTCTTAAATTTTTAAGTTAAAAAGACATGTTAAAAATTTATTGTTAAACATATATTCAAATAGTACTTAGTTAATAATTTTTACTTAGATATAAATATATTCTTATATGTCACTATAAAATGTTTTTAATTTAATAGCAAAAAAAAATGTTTTTAATTTTAATTTTATAGTTTTCATATATAAAATGATGAATTTCATTTTTAATTTAGTTTCTTAATTTTATTTTTTCAAACATGTCTCCCAAAGTTTTATTATTATTTTTATTTTGTGTAAAAATCGTTAGGTTAATATTTTAGGTTGAGAAAGAAATTAGGTGCAAAGACAAATAAAAAATAACCTTACAATTTTAAAACAGAATAAATATTTTCTATTTATGGAGTTCCATAAAATTAAAAGTGGAGTTTTTTACTAGTGCTTGAAAAAAAATAGAGTTCAATGGTATAAGAGGTTTATTTGTGGAGAAAGATTTCATATGATGCAAATATTTTTGAAAAATAACACAATTAAAATTATCTATAGAAATCTTATAAAGAAAATTGAGTGAAATCTAAGTCATGAGTGAGTTTAGCTAGCATACCTCTGTTTCAATTTTTCAAAACTAAAAAAACAATAAGAACTCCTACTAATGAAATTAGAAATTAAATTATCAAACAAAAAAAGAAACATATTAGAACCTCAACTCTTCTTATAGTGACTAAATTTTCATATAGAATATACTAAAAATAAATTATTTTTTAATTTTTTTATTTAGTATAATTTTCATATAAATTGTGAACTTTGATAGTGTGATTATGCTTACAAACAAAAATAGATAAAATTAACTATATTATGGTAGTTCATTTAATATTTTATTATAACTATATTATTACTATGGTAAGCATATTTTTCAAACTACTTAATAATAAGAATAATTTTTTTTTTTTTTTTTGAATTATCTATGTAAAGATTTTTACACAGCCAAATAATTAAATATATGGTAGTTACGAATTTTAAATTAATTATTATAAAATAATTAATAATTTTCACTGATAAAAATAATTCATGATTAGATTACATTGTAAAGCCGATTTATACTACTGATTTGACTGACAAAAAAAATTAAATACTTTTTAAAAATTTAAGAAAAATTCAAATCTAATAGTTTTGTCTAACAATTCAACTTTTTGTTACTGTAATTCTAAGTAGTCTTTTAATATAAATATTTTATTTGAATAAATTCAAAACTTCTAAATTATATTTTAACATTCCTTAATAAAATAAGGGAATAAATCATATTCTAAAAATTCTACTACTCAAAAAGAGGATTGTTAAATTTCTTTTTGACCTAAATTATAAATACAATTCTATTTAGGTTCAGGTTATGGACAATAAGAATATCCCTTCTCTATCAAAAGTTTTTCATTTTGTCCAAGGTGAAAAGAATCACAAGGCTGTAATATTGGAGGAAAAAAACATAGAATGTTTAACACTAGCATCTTCAAAAAAAGTCATCTAAGTTTGGATCGTTTGTTAAGTTCTCTTAAAAACCTAAGAAAGATGACCGTTGGTGTACTCATTGCACGTAGGGAATGGTTTTATTTAGGTTTAAAAATAAAAACTACCATTACCTGAATTCAACCAAATAAATCATATAAAACAAAAAAATTTGAACCCCCCAAACTAACCCTAATTTTGCTATCTTGTTTCTGAATTTCTATAAAGCGTTACTCTTCTTTTAATCCACATATCCCCCTTTTCATCTCATAAATCACTGTCTTTCACTCAAACTTCTACATACACAACTATACCTCATGGCCCTAGTCCTTTTCCTCAACTTTTATCTTCTTTTTCTTTGTCTTTCGTTTAATTTTTCCTCAATCATCTCATCGCAAGAATCAAATCAACAAACAAAGGTTTTTTCTTTTGGTTTGTTTCATCATCAACGCTGGTCTATCTTTTCATTTGTTTATCTCGACACCATTCTTTGTTATTGAATTCTCCCACCTATAGAAAACTCCAACCCTACCTTTGTTGTTGCTTGTTCTTTTGTTGACTTATCTATTGAAAGCTTTGTCTATCTTTCTATTGGGAGACCTAGATTTGTGTTGGGGAGTCCAAAGGCTAATAAGTTACGCTACTATGTTAGGATTTTATTTTTAGATTATTTTTGTTTATCTTTCTAATTTTTAGTTTATGGTTTATTCTTCTTTTATTTAAAACTTTTTTTTTTTTTTATCTAAAACTATTTGCAGAGACAATGTTGACAGAGGAGGGACACCTTTATTGTCAAATTGACAGGTAGAAAGACAAGAACCAAGCTCTGTGGTGGATAAAATGTTATAAATTGTGTTATTCATGCATGTATGTTTGAATAATAAATATATAGATATATCAGTTGATATATATTTATTTTGCGTGCCCTTTTTATCTTTTAGATTATTTTTGAATAGTAATTTTTCTCTGTTATTTGCAGTGAACTCTGAATCATAACCAGTTAAAGAGATTTTTGTCTACTTTGATAGGAAATTTGGCATTCTAATATACCATCTTACTTTTCTTGAGTTTAATCTGCGAACAATTTTGAGGTCTGCTAGCAGGCAGGTTTGTTTCATAGTAGAGAAATATAAATTTTGCCTCAAAATTTATTTACAGTAATGTTTGTTCTCTCTTAATTAGCCTATTGTGAGCGACAATGGCTTAGTCAGAAAAAAATATTGAAACATTACTGTGTTGATTGGAAATTTAATATATACCATCTCACAAGATTTTCTACTAGTATAATTAAAATTTTAATAATATTTTTATAAAGCCTTATATGATCAATTCAACTATAAAATCTTTTAAAATAAGTTAAAAAGAATTTATTTTGATAAATTATATTTAAAAACTTATTGAAATGGAAGTTATAAGTTACTTCTATCTTAACATTCTTTGATTCTCTTGTTACTTTATAAAAAATATGAAATTAAAAAAGCAAATACATATTGGAAATAAAAATATAAAATAATTTTATTTAGAAAATAATAAAAAAAGGAAATATATAGGAAAACATAGAATTATTTTTTTAACATTAGTTCACACTTGATATATTTGTTAAATTTGACATATTTATTATATGTATGAGTTTTCATATTTTAAAGATTATTAATAAAAATAAATAAGAAACTATTATTAATAAAATGTCAAAAATTATATATTAATTATTTTATGATTTAATTAGAAATACAATAAAAAGAAAATGAATTAAATGAGATTTTGATTTTCGAAAATTGTTTTTCTTTTTCATATAATACCTCTATTTGAAATTCATTAGTTTTTTTTTTTAATGCGTAACATATAATATGACTCATATAATATAACATAGAGTAGAGTTGACGTAGATGGTTATGTAATATTTGCACTTTCTTTCCTTTTATATTTTTAAATTTCAATTTTATAATTATGTTCTACGTCAATCAAATTGAATGTCATCTAAATAAATAATAAAATAAGTTAACACATTACTAATAGAGGGACTAGATAAATTACTTTTATTTCAATTTTATTTTTAAATTACTTTGACGCCTCTTCTGCATCCTCAGAACAGGGAACTCAACTCTCAACGCTCTTTCTTTCTGGTTCTTCCCTCCACCATCCATCACTTCTCAGAACTTCTATGGAATGTCGACAAACGTGACATTTCTTCCCTCTACCATTCATCACTTATCAAAATCTCTATAGAATGTCGACAAGCATAGCATTCACGAAGACAACAAGTTCAGGTTTTCAACTCTTCAAAGATCCTTTGTTTTTCATATTCTCATTCGCACACATTATTATTGTAGGGCAAGAATCCCCTTTTTGTGTTTTATATTGATACCCTCCTGCTTAATCATAATCTCAAACATCGGGTATAGCCATCACACGGATGCTAAGAAGCTTAAAGATGACGGTGTTTGCACGGTTGAATCCATTACTTACACTCCTAGGAAAGACCTCCTACAAATTATCATGTTCTTGTCATTTATATATTTTTAAGCACTTATTCTAAGACCTTAACATATTTGTAGACACCCTTGTTACAATATTAACTAATCTTCCATACAAAGGTGGCAACATTGGTACCGTGACAGTTGGCCATTGTTACTCCATTCTAACTTCAAACCGCGAGTACCCTTCTTGACTTGGAGATATCAAAGTTAAAATGGTTGGAATGAGTCAAACTAAATATGTGCAGCACAAATCAGAGACGACGTATAGAGGCTTTTTTTACATGTGAAGTTAACATTTATAAACTATTTTTCAAAATAAAAATGTTTTGAAATAAAATAGCAAGATGGATAAATTCAAGGTAAAAATATGACAGAAAAAAAGAAAGAAAAGGAGTTACAACACTGAAAGTTGATTATTCTTTAGAAACTACAGCGTTAACCGTTACCGTGTCAAAGCTTAGATTGGCTTGAAATTATCCTCATGGCATAGCCGTAGTTATATCAAAACTGAGAAAACTTGCGTGACAAGTCATTAGATTAATTAGTCAAATATATTTTAAGCAATTATGTTGATTTTTTTGGTGAAATTTAAATTAAATTATTAAGTATGATGTAAATTTTTTAAGGCTTTTTTCAAATTTTTTAAATTAATCTATACATTCTTATTCATGTCTAAAGCATTTTTAGATTTTAAATATTTTTTTCAATTATAAATATACCTATCTAATTTTGTCAATTTAAACCAATCAATTAAATCACTAAATTATATCAAAATTTGAATAATTCAAAATTTTAATTTATTTGATCACCATAAATATTTTCTTAAATTAAATAATATTTTCAATCTTAGATATATAATTGATAATGAATAGTGAATTGAAATAATCAAGTTACATTACCAATCTCTCATAAATAGAGATTTTATTTAGTATGTTTCTTCTAAATAATACTCTCTTTGATTCAAATATAAGTAAATTTAAAATAAAGTACGGTGGTTTAAAATATAAATAAAATTTAACTAATTTCATAAAATAGAGAGAAATATCCTTAAAACTAGTAGACAAAATTTAGATCTCTTCTATTAAGATATTAAAATTAATTTTCACAGATCAAGACATTAAATGAAATTACAATCTTTTTAATTAGCATAATTTAATTATTTTTTATTTATATTTAAGACCGGAGGGAGTAATAAATTATCATGTTGATAGAAATTAATTTATATTATAATCACTTTAAAAGTTATATTTATAATAATTTTTAATAATGTATAACAATAAATATTTTTTTAATTTTATATTTTTATTTTACTTTTAGTCATGTTATTTATGACCCTTATCTATTCCTAGTAAAAGTGGATAGTAATCTCTCATTTATTAGCTACAATTTTCTTATTTGTGTTAGTTTGTTTCATTTTCTCATAAATGCCTTCTGACTCTTTTATTTTATAAATAAATTGTATATTTTGAATGATGATTGTGTCGACTCAAACGTTATCAATTTAAATTTTTTGTTCATTTTGTCCTATTTTTATTGCCACTATAGCTATTTTTTCCTATTTCTTTTTTCTCGTGATCTTATTACCATTAACATTCCTTACTTGAACCTTTTTTTTTTCAAATTTTGGTCAATAACATCCTTTTGTGTTTTATGTTAGTTGTTTATTTTTCAAAATTATAAAAGAGTATTGATATTTGATCCAAACGTCAGATAAATTTCCTTGTTTAGTTATTGATTCATTTTTTCTCTTCACTAATAATAAGCACTATTCTTTTTGATATTACTATCTTATGCTTCTTGAAAATATGGGTATTCATGTTGAGTTTTACTTGGGAGATAAGAAAAACATTATAATATTTTGTAATAATTGTTATTATTATTGTTACTATTATTGATTATCATTTTCGTTATTATATCACGACAACTATCCATGTTAATTGTTTTTGCCTTCATTATCGTTGTGGCACTATAAGATATCATTGTTGCCTTTGTTCTTCCTCCCTCGTCACCCCCACTATGTATTACTTTTAATCTTGTCTTGCAACCATTGTTAGTCATAATTATTACTATAGTTATATTAATGGTAATTATATATTTTAATCACTAATTACTATCACTCATCACTGTGCAACTATTATCATCATCTAGTTCGGATCTCTCTGCAGCCATTCAGCGTCTCCCACATAAATCTTTACCATTAATTTTGCATCTAATGGTTATAAATGACTATATTATTTTATAATGAATTAATTTTGTATTTAATTGTAGGCAACTTTTCTGCAAGAGATGCTCGACAGGTAAATAGAATCTGAATGAATTATTATCATAGTAATTATTATTATTTGTTACTACTTTTATTATTATAATTATCACAATAAACATTTTTATTATTGTCACTACTGTAGTCATTAATTTTATTGTCTTCTTAATTGTGATGACTCTTGGTACTATTATTATTTTTGCTACCGAGTTAATCAACACCATAAAAAAAACCTAAGCATGAGTGATTTGTATAATTTAGATTTAAAATTATATAAAAATAAATAAAACTTAAAGAGTGAAATTTAAAACTATTTTTAGTTTTTAAAAATGTTAAGACTTAAAACTAAAAGTCACTCCAAAATTCCAAATAGACACTAAATTGTTGTGTAGTTTAATAAAAATATTATATCTTTTAAATTTTTTTAGTTTAATTGAAAAAATGTCATCTTATTTTAAATTTTTTATTTTTAAGATTTGTATAGAAAAATACTGATTTTTTTTTATTGTGTACTAATCTTTTAAAAATAAAAAATAAAATAAACATTATATATTATTTTTGTAATTAAAAGTAAAAATAAGTGATACAAATTATAATTATTTTCTAGCCCTAATATTATATACATAAATACTTTATTGAAAGCTAAGTTTAGACAAAGCTGATTTTTTTGCCTATTTAAAAGATTTTACTATATAACATAGACTTTTAAATAAGTTTAGGAGACATGTTCAAAAAAAAAAAACAGATTATACTTTAAAAAATTATCCACATAAATTAAATAAATAGAAATTCAGAACAAATCAAGCAAGACTAACTTGTTAGAAAATCTAATAAAATACATCATTCTTATTATCACAGATACTAAGAGGAAGGGTCATATATAGATCGTTATATCAAGGTCCACCTTCTCAAGTTTTCCTCTGCGTTATTTAAAGAATACAACTGTGCTAATTGGAATTTAGTAGGCAAATATAAAGACAAAATGGCAATGGATGAACATGACATGTTAGAAGTTGCTAGATAAGTACACATACGACAACATGGTCCCGTAGCTCAGTTGGTTAGAGCGTTGGTCTTATGAGCCGAAGGTCGCGAGTTCGAGCCTCGCCGGGACCATTAGCATTAATATAATAATTTTGTTTTGGTTCAACGTTGTAGCTTATGAATCATGCATGCTCTCACTCTTACTTTGTTTGTCTTCATCCCAAAATATGATAAAGTATATCTTTTTGAAATGCACGTTCATCAATCAAAAACACTGCGCTAAAAAGCAACTGGGTCACCATCAATATTCTGTTGTCATGGTTTGTTCTGCTGTCGTTGTAGCCTCCGTTGTTGAATTCTCCAAAAATCCAACCAACTGATTCATATAATACTTACGTTACTCTCTCTCTCTCAACTCCACATCAATATTCATTTTTTGGTGTTTTTCTCAGTTGTGGGCCTTGTCGTGTTTATATGCGTCGGTTGAGCCTTTGATTGAGTGAGTGAGACAGAGAGAGATAGATTTTTATTTTCTTTTCTCTTTTATATTATTCGGTTTTGTTTTCTTTCTTTCTCCATGTAAATCAAGGGGGATGGTATTGGGCCATAGCATTCCATATTTTACATCTGTCTTTTATTCTTTTCTGAGCCTTTCTCTTTCACTCTTTCCATTCATCTTGCCTTCTTCTTTACTTCTATACTGATATTATTGTCCCCCACTTCCTTTTTCTATCAGATACCTTGTTCTCCAAGTGAGGAAAAAAGGATTGCTTTGGACACTTTTCACCACCTTCTCTGGTATGTCAGATGCATTTTTGTTTGTCTTGCATTTTCTGGGTTAATAACGTGATTCTAGGATACCCATTGGCATGTTGGGGGGTATTCTGAAGCCTAGGTGGATTTTGACATATTTTGGTTTGCTTGCTTGCTAGACAATCCAATCATGTGTTTTCTTATTTATTTATTTATTAAGCAGTTTAGTTCTTGATCCATTTTTTGCTCTTCTGCTTGATGAATCAAAGTATGAGTATGATGTGGAAGGAAAATCAATGAGATTGTTTTTATATCAAATTCTGTTGGTTGGGTGATTATTGTTCGGATTTTTACATATTTTTATACAGGAAAGAAACAGTTGGGGTATCAACTATAACTGCATGGATATAATATTAACTGTTGTTTGGCTCAAAATGTGAAAATAAATGTTTTTTTTTCCTCTGGCACTATGATCCAGTTCCAGTCTGAATTGTAAATTTGATTTGTAGTTTGTAGTTGTAAGACCCTAGTTCTGGTTAGATCATTATAGGTGTTGCTGTGTGAAGTAGAATTGTTGAGTATATTGGTAAAGTAAAGGAAAGAAGAGATTGAGGAAAAGGGAGACAGAAATTGGGAAATAAAGAAATGGAGGAAGACTAGACTGAGGAAGGAGAAACATAAATTTTAAAATAATTTCAAGTCTCAATTAAAGTCCAACGCCCAAACTTAGTAAGTAACCATCCTTGAATAGCTTGCTTTATTCACTGCATGTAGCAATCCTAATTTTAATTAAAAATAATAAAATGCTCTACAATCTTGAAATACTAAAATTTCCAAAAAAATTACAAGAAATTCCACATATACTTCTTGCTCCATAAACCTTAAAATCCGAATATTCATTTTCTATAACCCAATGTTCCACTTGTTCCTATCCCATTCCCGATGATCAATATGATCTTAATGAGACAAATGTTTGAGAAATAGGACTGAAGCTTGCAGTTAATTATTTGGATAAAGAAAAGGACAAAAAATGGGAACAGGATCACAGGAATTCCAGCACTGTTTTTTTATTCTTTTTATGAAGTGAAATTTTTATTTGTGTAGTTCTGTGCTAATCCTTTTTATATTCATTAAAATACTCCCCAGGGTTATGTAACTTTGACGAAATAACTTCACATCAAGAATGGGTTCTGGTGATTGGTTTAAGACAATAATTAGCTTAAGAAAATCAAAAGAAGGCAGATCGAAGAAAGCAAAGGTACAATACACTTTCTTTCAATTTTAGTTTCTTGGACTAATACTTGCACGGATCAAGTTGAATGAGTGTAAAACTCTTTATTGTAAACCTTTTTATTACAATTATTTTCCTGAAAAATCAAATAAATCTTTTGAATGATTTGAAGGTCATTTATCTTGCTCATGTGGTATAACATATGCCTTATTTTAGCTACCAAGGTTTTGTGATTTGGAGAGTGAATGCTCATTTCCTATGAAGGATGAAACTGTAAGTTATCTTTAGACCCGAGTTATTGAAATGATGGATATTTTGTCAAAGCATAATACTTAGTTGACATTGTTAAAATCTATTAGAATCTTGTAAATATAGTAATTGTATATCTTGTAATTATTTACTCTTCTCTATAAATTGAAATAACTCCGCTGTACCCTAAACATAGAAATTCAATATTTTTTCTCTCAACATGGTATCTAGAGCCTAGAGAGGCAACCCTAATCCATTTTTTTTTCTAGTGGACCCACTGTTCACCAGTGCCTTTTTTTTTTTTTTTTTTTTCTGGCGCCACCACCATTGTTCCAGCACCGCTGCCGCTGTCGCTGCTGTCTGACTCTGATCACTACGGAAACCCGCCGTCGTGATCGCCCTTGTCAGATCGGCCGAACCCCACTGACCGCGCCTTCATCAGAGCCCTCATGCGCTCCCATGTCCGACGTCTTTTCTTGACGCCATCGACTGGGGTTTGTTCGCCCCTCTCTCCTCTACCTGTATCCGGCCTCGGTTAGTTGTTTGGACATTTATTCTCCCTTGTTTTGCCCTTTTTCGCTGTTGTTTGGGTATTTTCTCTCTCTTCTCGCTGACCAATGGCTGCCTCTAGCACTCCAAAAGCTGATACCCAGATTTTTACCAACCATGTCACTGCACCTCTTTCTTCTGAGCAGTTGGACGGTAAGCACTACTCCTCCTGGGCTTCTCACATTGAACTTTGCCTTGTTGGACGGGGTTATGATACACATCTCACTCAAACAGTATATGATGTCCCAAAGGCCGACTGTCCTCTATAGAAAAAGGTTGACGCCCAGCTATGCTGTATCATCCAAGCCACCATTCACCCATCTCTTCGTGATGTCTTTCGCACTCACAAAACTTGCAAAGCTATTTGGACACAAGCCCAACAACTCTTTACAAACAATTCTCGGCGACTCTACCAAGTTTGTGAAGACATCATGACTGTCCTTAGTGCCCATCAGATTAAGGATTCTATGTCGACCTATCTTGGCTCGGTATCAAGCCTTCTTTGTGAGTTCAAAGAATTGCTTCCTCCCGCTGCCACTCCAGATGCAGAACTTGACAATTGCAAGAAGTTTTTCATGTTCTTGGCTCTATACGGTCTGCCCCCATAATATTCTCATGTTCGTGATCAGATCCTGGGGAACCTCACAGAAGCTACTATGTACAGTACCTGGGCGACCCTCCTCTGTGTGTCTCCCAAATCCTCCTCTGAGCCTTTGCTTCCCTTTCCTATTGACTCTTTGGCTTTGGTTTCACGCAACACCAATCGACCTCCACAGCGCAAGAGTGGCAAAGGACGTCCCTGGTGTGATCATTGCCACCGCCCGGGACACACAATTGATAAGTGCTAGACTTTACATGGTCGACCTCCTCGCACTGTCCAGGTGGCTCAAAGTTCTGTGTCTCCTTCATCCACTTCTGCTCTGCCATTGGCTCTGGATCTACATCTATCACCTTCCTATGACGATTTCTTGAAATGGTATGACGATCATCAGGCCTCCGATTCTACTGCTGTTGTTGCACACACTGGTAATTCCTTCGTTGGTCTCTCTCACTCTTCAAGCCCTTGGGTCCTTGACTCTGGAGCCATCGATCACATCACTGGTAATAAATCTCTCTTTTTTTTTTCTTTTTACTTCTGGTTATTTACCTTTTGTCACCATGGTAAATGGGTCTCAAACTCAGTCCTAAGGTGTTGGTATTGTTCATCCTCTTCCTTCCCTTTCTATTAATAATGTCCTTTATGTTTCGGGGCTCCCTTTAGTTTATTATCCATTAGTCAACTTACTCGATCTCTTGATTGTGTCATATCTTTTACCAAAAATTCTGTTTTCCTGTAAGAACGGATTACGGGGAGGACGATTGGCTCTAAATGTGAGTCTCATGGCCTCTATCAGCTCAACAAGCCCTCTCTTGTTGGTTCGGCAGCAACGTCTTCACTTCTGATTCATGCTCGATTAGGACATCCAGGTCTTGATAAGTTGAAGCAGCTATACCCTAGTCTTTCAAAGTCAGAGTCTTTGTCTTGTGAGTCATGTCAATTAGGCAAACATGTTCGTAATTCTTTTTCTAGTCGCATTATGAGTCGGGCTTCGTCCCCTTTTTGTTTTAGTTCATTCAGATGTTTGGGTCCAAGTCGTATTTCCTCTACATTAGGGTCTAGGTATTTTGTCACTTTTATAGATGATTTTTCCCGTTGTACTTGGTTATACTTAATGAAATAACGTTCTGAATTTTTTTCAATTTTTCAGTCTTTTTTTTATGAAATAAAAAATCAATTTGGTATCCCTATTCGTACTTTACAAAGTGATAATGCATGTGAATATCTGTCCACTTAGTTTCAGACCTTTATGGCATCACATGGTGTGCTACATCAAACATCTTGTCCTCATACCCCCCAACAGAATGGAGTTACAAAACGCAAAAATAGGCATATACTTGAGACCACACGAACTCTTCTTCCCCACTCTCATGTTCCTCATCAGTTTTGGGGGTGATGCGGTACTCACTGCATGTTATCTCATTAACCGTCTGCCTTCCTCTGTTTTATAAGGTAAAATTCCTCATTAAGTTCTATATCCCCACCACTCTCTTCATCCTTTACCCCCTCGGGTCTTTGGTTCTACATGTTTTGCTCATGCTCTTGGTCCTGGCATTGATAAGCTCTCTCCTCGGTCTCATAAGTGTATTTTTCTCGGGTACCCATGGTCTCAAAAAGGATACAAGTGTTATTCCCTTACTCTTCGCAGGTATTTCATTTCTGCTGATGTTACTTTCTTTGAGTCCATTCCATTCTTTGAACCTAGAACATCTACACTCGAGTTTTCTCTGTCCACGACTGCCCCTAGTTCAATCCTTTTCTGTCCTCCAAAGGGGTCTCCATCACCTTCACACCCATCTCCTCCACCTTTGCAGGTATATTAGTGTCGTACTCGTCCTGTTTTGGAGCCACCGAGCACTGACAACACCATGGACTCACCTTTGGAGCCACCTCTTTTGCCTCATCTTCCGGTCCCACCCTCTGAATCTAACATTCCCATTGCCATTCGAAAAGGTATATGTTCTACTCGTAATTCTTCTCCTCATTATATTTCTTTAAGTTATCATCGTCTTTCTCCTTCCTATTATTCTTGCCTTTCTTCCTTGTCCTCTGTTTCTATTCCTAAAAGTGCTAGTGATGCATTTTTCCATCCCGGGTGGAAAGAAGCTATGCTACACGAGATGTATGTATTATAGAACAGTGGGACTTGGGACCTCGTTCCTCTACCACCAGGGAAGTCAGTCATTGGTTGTCGGTGGGTGTATACAGTCAAGGTTGGTCCAGACGGCAAGGTTGACCGGCTTAAGGCCCGTCTCGTCGCCAAAGGCTATACTCAAATCTTCGGGTTGGATTATGGCAACACCTTCTCTCCCCTGGCCAAATTGCCCTCTGTGCGACTATTCATATCCATTGCTGACATACGTCATTGGCCTCTCTATCAATTGGATATCAAGAATGCTTTCTTACATGATGATTTGCTCGATGAAGTCTACATGGAGCAATCGCCTTGCTTTGTTGCTTAGGGGAAGTCCTCTGGTCTTGTATGTCGATTGCGAAAATCTTTATATGGCCTCAAGCAGTCACCCAGAGCATAGTTCAGGAGATTCACTACTGTGATTCAATAGTTTGACATAACTCGGAGTGAGGATGACCATTCTGTCTTCTATCGTCACTCCTATACCGGTTGCATCTACTTGGTTGTTTATGTTTATGACATTGTCATCACAGGTAGTGACCATCAGGGCATCATACAGGTGAAGCAACATCTCTTGAAACATTTCCAGACAAAGGATCTTGGCAAACTCAAATATTTTTTGGGAATAGAAGTAGCACAGTCCAAAAATGAGATCATCATTTCCCAAAGAAAGTATGTAATGGATATTTTGGAAGAAACAAGAATGTTAACTTCCAAGCCAGTCGACACTCCTATGGATCCCAATGTCAAGCTCTTGCCAAATCAGGGGGAGCCTCTTCTAGATTCTGAAAGGTACAGACGGTTAGTAGGGAAGCTGAACTACCTCAATGTTACCCGTCTAGATATCTCATTCGTAATGAGTGTAGTAAGTTAATTCCTCAACTCTTCATGTAAGGAACATTGAGATGTAGTGATTCGCATTGTTCGATACATCAAAGGAGCTCCAGGAAAGGGTCTTTTGTATGAAGACAAAGGACACACTCGAGTTGTGGGATATTCTGATACAAATTGGGCAGGATCTCCCGTAGATAGAAGGTTCACCTCTGGATTCTGTATATTTGTCGGAGATAACCTTGTCTCTTGGAAAAGTAAGAAGCAGAATGTTGTAGCCCGGTCGAATGCGGAAGCAGACTATTGAGCTATTACTATAGCGAGTTAGGAGCTTATATGGCTTAAACAGTTGCTTCAAGAACTAAAGTTTGGAGAGGTCACACATATGTCACTTATATGTGATAATCAAGCCGCTATGCATATTGCTTCAAATCCAGTATTCCATGAGAGGACAAAGCACATTGAGGTTGATTGTCACTTTGTCAGAGAGAAAGTCATGTCCAGAGAAATATCTACTAGTTTTGTCAATTCCCATGACCAACTAGCAGACATCTTTACTAAATCACTAAGGGGTCCTTGGATTAACTACATATATAACAAGTTTGGTGCATATAACCTATATGCTCCAGCTTGAGGGGGAGTTTTAGAATCTATTAGAATCTTGTAAATATAGTAACTGTATATCTTGTAATTATTTACTCTTCTCTATAAATTGGAATAACTCCGTTGTGCCTTAAACACACACACGGATTCAATATTTTCTCTCTCAATAGACATAAATTATAAAACACAGTTTAGATTTGTTCTATATGCCTAGAAACTATTACAATGTGAACTAAGTCTTATCAAACTATTTGGGGTCAATTAACTTGGATCAGTTGATGCCATTGGGCTAATGCAATTAGTTTTCTAACAAGACTTTTGAACATAGAAATTTAATTTGTCTGGCATCATGTTTATGAGGGGCAGCGTGTGTTATTGTTTATGAAATGTTAATTATTAATTTTAATTGCTTATATTTAATTTATATAGTATTTTAAATATTTAAATTAAGTCTTTAATATAAAATTAGGACTTTATATTTTATACATTTTATTTAAATATTTTGTATATTTTTCTTTCTTTATTTATATAAATCAATAAAATAACATACCCCAATTATATTTTTATTGATTATTGGATGAAATTTTAGGGTGAATAACTTAATTTGAGCATTTACAAAAAATGAAGAGACTAAATAAGAGTGATTAAAACTAGAGTGACCAAAATTGCACATACATTAAAATAGAAGGACTAAAAGCTCAATTATGCCTAATTTATTTATTTGTTTTTAATTTAGGTTGCAGCAATGTCATTTATTAGAGTATATTTGAATTTGTGTATTAGAGCTGTTGTGACTTGGGAGTTTCTTATCCCTACGAAATCTTTAGCTTCAACGAAAATTAATTGTGTTGCAGACTAAGAATTATAGAGGAAAACGGTCCAATGGCTTAGCAAATGGCATTACAAGTGAAAATCTTGTGTCTACTGGGGTAACAGTTGAAAATATTGCTGCAACAAGGATCCAAACAGCGTTCAGGGCTTATAAGGTATGTCAATTTGAAAGTTTCATGGAGAAGAATCAGACCAAGTCCAACCCAACTTTTTTTATTTTAGCACTTCCTTAACAAGCATGTTTTTTTTAATTTTTTTATATACATAAAAAAAATGATCTTATATTAGTGTAAATCTAAAAATTCTTACACTTAACTTTAGACTTTTATTTAACTTACATCTAACTGTATAACCATGTAAATTAAATAAAAGACTCAGATTTAGTGTAAGAGTTTTTAAATTTAAACTAGTGTGAAAAGATTAGACCATATATATATATATATATATATATATATATGGATATAGCACAGAAAATGGATACAAACACTTCAACATGAAAATTTTTGAAAATCTTAGGACACAACACAGCTATATGATATCCTATAAATAAATCTAAATAGAGATCTTAAATCACAAGAGAAAATTCATGTTTCAAAAGTGAGTGAGCATGCGTCATTTGTAAATATAATAAAATAGTAAAGCTTATCTAATTATTATGGTATTATAGAAGTGTTTGTGCTTCTTAGACGTCTATGTGCTATCCTTTTATATGAATACCACTTGTGAAATTATTTGAGCTTATGTATGTATGCATGTACGTGTTACTAATTTATCATAGTAATAAACCTTCTGTTAATGTCTTCTGCTGGTTTTTGTTTTATGATGCTGACTTTTGAATCTGCCAGGCTAGAAAATATTTACGTCGCTTGAAAAGATTCACAAAACTGAAGATCATGACTCAAGGTTCCTCTGTTCAAAAGCAAGCCATTACAACTATAACTTATCTTCATTCATGGAGCAAAATACAGGCTGAGATTAGAGCTCGCCGAATATGTATGGTGACAGAAGACAGGATTAGGCGTAAGAAACTACTTTCTCAGCTAAAACTTGAGGCAAAGCTTCATGACCTGGAGGTAACCTTCCCTGCATCATAGTGTGTTAGATTGTAAAGTTCAAAGGTTTTCAGTGATGGTATTCTAGAATTTTTCTTTTCTAACTGATGCCTGTTTGTAGTTCACTCTTTCAACTAATATTCTTTTATATCAATAGCCAATGGTATACAAGTGATTTCATTTGGAGGCAACCTTATATTAAGTATCTATTTATTTTTCTATCTGATTAGTAAATGCATTTAACTATCAAAACAGTGCATGGGTGGGGATCCTCTTGAATCAGCTTGACTTCTAAGATGTACTATCATATAGTTAGTGTAGTGATTAAAACATGCAAAAGTATCTCCTACTTGTATAAATCTACGAGCATGTCAAATATGCCCTTACTGTTATCACTTACCACCTTTACCTCATTCCCTCTTATTGAATCTGCATAGATAATTTATGTCTTGAAGAACCAATTACTGTAAACTGGTGGTTCCTTTTCTTGTTATGTTAGAAATTAAGAGAAGCATTTCTAGCCTTCTAAAAACTTTCTTTTCTCTTTTCTATATCAGTATTAAGTTAAAATGCTTAGCGAAATGTCATAAAATGTGTACTCAATCAAAATCAGATTCCAGATATTAGTTATTCCTTTTTCCTTTTCAATTATGGATGAAATGCCTTAATCCTTTACCATTAACCATTTATCTTGAGTTGGTTAGATTAGGACTCCCTTCAGTTACTCTTTTTCTGACCAGCAGTTTAATTAAACAAGTAACAGGTGGACTGGTGTGGTGGTTCTGAAACCATGGAGGAAGTCCTTGCAAGGTTTCATCAGAGAGAAGAAGCAGCAGTCAAGAGAGAAAGAACCATGGCATATGCTTTCTCTCATCAGGTAGGAAAATGTTAGTAATGAACAGATATTCACATTACCTTATTTTCCCTTATCCAACTGAAAATCAAATGCATATCTTATGATTCATAGTGGAGGGCCAACTCTAGTCAAAGCCAAATGCTAGGTAATTATGAACTTGGCAAAGCTACTTGGTGTTGGAGTTGGAAGGACCGTTGGATTGCTGCTCGTCCGTGGGAAATTCGTGTCCCTAGTGCAGCCATTAGCCCCAAGAAAGCGCAACATAAGAAGTCAAGCAAGGTTGAGAAGGATAAGAATGCATCAACACCTAAAGAACCAGTTTCAGTTAAACCTCCTTCAGCTAATGCTAAAGGAACTAGTCCTTTGGGTAATGCAAAAGGGACTTCCAAAGCTAGGAGGTTGTCTTACCCAGCCACAGAGAAAACGGAGGTGCATGAAGCAAAGCACTGAGTACTCAAGGTAGATGCTAAGAACAAGTGCATGCATATTTTATCAAGCCTATTGTATAGCATCAGCAGAGTCAAATTGGTTTTCAAGTGGTTACAGTGTGTAAAGTCTAATGATAAAAGGCAATATTTTTTATTCGTTGGATCACTTCCGATTTGTGCATAAACGTGAGTGCAATTCAGTGATCTTAGGGATAGCAAATGGGCCAACAAACCTGATGTGTGTGTGATTTGTTGATTGCTGTTGTTTATTGTTTTCAATCTTGTAAATTTAGTGCAGTGCGGAGACAAATTATAGATAGATCAATCGTTCTTTTGTCTACTTCGTGTGTTTGTGAGAGTTTTTGAAGCCATGATCTTCTTGTTCGCTTGTCTGTGGTTAATATTTTTATGATCATATTGAGGCCCCTTATGAATAAATATATTTATTTTGTAATTATTAAATTTTTTTTTTAAAATAATACCAATTGATTAGATTTTTTATAAAATTATTAAAATTAATATGATAAAATTAAATAAATTTTTATATTAAATTTGTAACTATTAATATTCATTAAAATTATTTTAAAAATTAAAAAATAATTAATTAAACATAATTCATAAAATTGTTTAAAATTTATTTAAAAAATTAAATACACATGATAAATAAAATATTTATAAAAAATACACATGAAAAGATAAACTTTATAAAATGCTTAATTATATACTGCATAAAAATTGATAAATAAAATATTTTTTCTTTTATTTTCTATTTATAATTTTTTTTTGAAAGGTTGTTTTAAACCAATAAATACACATAACATTAACTGCACAATAAATTAAAGTACATAGTTAAATGTTTCGTGCAAATTGATAAGTTAATGATAATTTATTTTTTAATTTTTACTTTTATTTGTTGATTTTTATAAATATTTATTATTAAATAGGTAAAAAATATTTGGGTTCACAGCTTTTTTATAGTTTGTTGGCTTTACTCCCACAACAAAGCAATGGGATGAGACAAGATGAAATAAAAGTAAACTCTTGTAATGTCAAATTTCTTTTGACCAATTGGATTTTATATACTTGTGCTACTAATCATATATTCATTTTTGTCATTTGCAATGATAATCTTTTTAATAAGGGCAAGTGTTTTATCTTGAATATAATTACGAGAATGAACCCAAAAATTATTCTCAAGGTATTAAATATGATTTTTGGAATACAGTTATACAATTATGTAAAATGAGCTCGATACACTAGAAAGGAACCAAACATGAAAAATAGTTGAGTAGCCTCCAAACAAGAAATAAATTTACTATAAATGGGTATATGAAATTAAATATAAACTAGATAGAATCGTGGATAGATATAAGGCTAAACTTGTTGCTCAATGATACATTAAAGTTGCTCAAAACCGGTACTTGTTCTACCAACTTATATAGATAATGCTTTTTTCTATAAAAATTTGAATAATAAAGTATACATGATTGTACTTAAAAGGGTTATTACTACAAAATCAAACTAAATATGTCTTCTCAAATGATCTCTTTATGCCTTAAAACAGTCTAGTAAAAAATGATTTTCAATGTTATCTACAATATTTTTCAATGTTATCTATAACATTATAATCCAGGGGATACAAACAAAGTCTTGCTAATTACACTTTATATATGAAATCTATTAATTCTAGTTTCACAATATTTCTAATATAAGTTGATAATATGATACTAATAGGAAATGAATTAAATGAGATCAAGGTACTCAAACAATCTTTACACTAAATTTGCTAGATCTTCAAAAAAAAATATAGTCTTGTCTCAAAGGAAATATACATAAGAACCCTTATATGAGTTAAGATTACTAGATTGTAAGCATGCTAAGACTCCGATAGATAGCTCTCTTAAACTTAGGAAGGATAATGAAAATGCACTACAAGATATAGCATCTTATCAAAGACTTATTAGTAGATTACTATACATCACCATCACTAGGCTCAATATTGCATACTCCATACAACAACTGTGTCAATTCCTTTTAATCCCAATTGACATTCATCAACAAGTTGCAAACCGAATCTAATTTTATATTTTTTATCTTAAGATACGTTAGTGATTAGGTTGAGAACATTAATTAACAGTGATTAGATTGTTTGTTCAAATATCATAAAATCTATACCAGGTTATTGTGTTTAACTAGGTAACTCCTTATTTCTTGGAGAACTAAAAAGCAAATAACAATTGCAATTTAATGGTTACTTTATCTTCTCTTAGACTTCAACATCACTTCATCTCAATCACTTCATCTCAACTTATTTCCTAATAACAATTCACATTGCTCAAAATCTTTCATTCCATAAAAAAATAAAATATGTTGAGCTAGGTTATCATATTGTTTGAGACAAATTCAAAGCTAGACCTATTCATCTTCTATCCTTATCCATAGAAATACAACTTGCAAAATTTTTTTACCAAAGTACTCTACACATCATTCTTCTTCAACCTTCAACCCATGCTTGAAATGCATAGTATCCATTCATCAGCTTGCAAGGAACTAACACACAGTATTGGTTGTTAATTTGTTAAATTAGTTAATTTTTATTTTTTAGTTGATATATATTAGTAACAATGATTGTAAAGTTATATAAATAATTTAAAGCAAATGTATCAATTTGTTTTGAATTCAATATGGGTTCTTTGTTCACTCAAATTCTCGTTCTCTCTTTTTATAAACTTGTTAAATATGAATTCATTATAATATATTTCATATTTAATAGAAAAATAATGTTTGTTGTATTTGTATTCATTAGGATATAATTTTTTAGGTATTTATATTATAATTATATTTATTATCATTTTTAAAAAAATATATAACAACAATAAAATAATTCATTTTATGTTACTTATATTTAAAATTCAACTGTTATCCCTTTACTTTTATTTAAATTAATTATTTTTAAAAAAAATTTAATTTTATAAAATATTATGTTATTATTTAATTATTGTATAGTTAACTTTTTTATTACTAAAATTCTTTATTAAAATTATAAGTGATTAATATACTGTATTAAATTTAATTAAAAATTAAACAAATGAAAGAGTTCAATTAATTATATGAAGTATTTTATAATCTTTTTCAATTTAATTATATTTAATATTGTTTTTTATTATGATTTTTTATTATAATTTAATAAATAATAAATTTATGATTTGTTAAAACATATTTTTTATATTAATTTTTTTAATTAAATTTAAACAAAATAATTTAATAAAAATTATAAACAAACTCATACACTAATCTTAATTGATCGTTTACTTCATCTGTTAACTTGTTTTTTTATAGTTTATTGCTTTAGTGTGTGTTTTGTTCTACTTTGTAATATATATCATGGATCTGCATTCGGTCTAGAGTGTAGCATTTAAAAGTTAAACATAAATCTTCTTTGAACACATATCTTGACATATTATTAGGTTTTTTTTTTTCATGTCCTTTGATGGAAAATTAATTTAAATATGGTGTTTTTGTTAATTATATATAGAAATATAGAATTTTTGGCATAATTATGCATATATGGTCTTTTCAAAAAATGTCAATGACAAATTTGGTAGTAGAATATGTGGTGCAATGCTAGTCAAGTTGAAGTCTGGCTTGGAATTTCTTCCAAATAGAGAAAAATTTACAAGTCCAACATGATTAATCTCTAATATTGAAAGTATATATAAGACTAATTAAAACTTATTGTAAAGGAATTTATCATAATAATCGGTCACAAAAACTCATATAATTGATTGAAACGTGTTCTGTAAATTTTAATTAGTTTTATACATACTTCCAATGTTAGAAGTTAATCAGAACACGTTTCAATTGTAAGTCTTTATAACTGATTAGTTTATGATACATTTTTTTAGAAATAAGTTCTAATTAGTTTTATACTTAATTTCAATGTTGTAAGTTTAAAAAATAGCTTTGACATATTTATCAACTCTAAAATTTATAATAAAAATAAAGAAAAGTCACATTAACAGGTCCTTGAAAAATTGTTAATAATGATATCTTTTTAAAAATCTCATTTTATTTGATTATAAGTTTCATATTTTAATTAGGATTTTGTTAACTTTAACCCTTAAAGTTGAGTTTAAATATTCACAAATAAAAAATTTTATAAAAAAAAAATAATTATTATATTAAAATTATAAAAATATAATAAATACTTTTTTTAATAATTTTTTACTATTATTAACTGTTTATCTTTAACTCTGAACAAAACAAAATTTGTTTGATTATTATTACGAACTTTTTTCATATAAAAAAAAATCAGCATGTTTAGTTTGATATGAAATTAAAATAAAAATATTTCTCAAAAAGTCTTCAAATGAAAAAAAGAAAAAACACTGCACAATAATTACTAATTTCTTTACATGAAGAAAAGAATATAGAACTTATTCAATTATTGTTGAAATTTTCTAATTTCACCCCATAATAACTCAAGCTAAAAGAATTTACATTAACAAACTTTTAACTGATTTATCAAATAATCACTTAAACTGTTTAGCTGTTGACCCAAGAAAGAAGGACTGTTTATCAAATATTTCCCCTTAGTTATCTGTTTGTCACAGAAACATTTGAACAGCTTATTGGCTTCGCAAACGCCAAAATAAGCACACCACACGTCCATTTGTACAACAAAAGTAGTTATTTATTATTCACATTATATAACCCTTAAAGAAACTAAATACTTATCAAACTATTAGCCAATCAAATTCTGTTAACCTGTCAACTTATTTCACCTCTCATAAATCATATCGATTATATTTTAGAAACATTCTTTTTTTGGGAAATGAAACTGTCACAAAATACTTTTATAAAGTATTTTTAACTGTAAAATTTTTTATATTGTTAATTAATTAAAAATACGTAAATATAACTTTTAAATAATTATTATAAAAATTAAAAATATCAATAATATAATAATTTATAATTAAATAAATTCTCTGATTTGCTTATAACAATATTTTAACTTTAATTACATATATTAAGAAAGGCTATTAAAAGTAATTAATATATTAGCTTTTAAAAATTAATTACAATATTTTAAATTTACTTTTAATTAAAGTTAAGTTTTATTATTATATTAATTATTAAGAAGTTAAAAAAATAACAATAAATATGTAAACAAATAAATTATTATTAAAATTTTATAAAAATCTTATATTAAATATTAACAAAAATATGAAATATTCTTATAAAAAAAAATCGAAGCAGTAACAGTTTAAGAAACCTACCTTTTCAATTTCAAATCTTGTTAAGTTAATCCAGGTTCCCTATCTGATTTTCATTAATTTCTGAAAAAAGGAAAAAGTTAAAGACAACATAATTGACCAACGTTGGGGGGGTTGTTGGCGTTATTTTTTTACTGTGACACACATGGTTTCCATTCTGAGAACGTTGTCGACAATAACATCATCCATATTACCCAGAGCATCTATCTCCAAATTCATGGCTTCTTCTACAAACGTCAACATTGGAGGATCTCAGAGGCTCTTGGCCTTAGCACAGCACCTTCGCCAGTACAAGCCACCTCCTTTCCCTGAAGATATTGTGGAGCAAAGCATTGAAGAAATTGGTAACAAGGTTGTTTCCCTAGTGGGTTTTCCAGAATCAGCCACCCCAATTGCTCAAAACCCAGAAAAATTCAGACCCACAAAAGCTGCGGTTTTGATCTGCCTCTTCGAAGGGGATGATGGGGATCTAAGGGTCATACTCACTAAGCGATCCTCTAGGCTTTCTACTCACTCGGGTTAGTCCAGTGTAGGAGAATATGTATCAATTGTGTTTCAAGTTTCTCTTTTCTAATTTAAAATCTAAAAAATGTTTTTTTTTTTTAATAATTGCAGTTTGGACCCTGTGAAAATTAACAGGGGTGTTTTGTGTGTGTTTCATGGGTTGTTTTTGCAGGTGAAGTGGCCTTGCCTGGTGGGAAAGCTGAGGAGGGGGATAAGGATGATGGGGACACTGCAAAAAGAGAGGCAAAGGAGGAAATTGGGTTGGACCCAGAACTTGTCAATGTTGTTACTGTTCTTGAACCGTTCTTGTCTAAGGTATGTGTTATATTTGATGCTTCAGAAGATGAAGTAATTGGTATAGCTTTAGATGGATCTCTTCCCTGACCTGCTTGTGGCTGAAAGCAAAATAGAGTGTTCTGCAATTATGTGTTATTTGTAATTTTGCTGTAAAACTTGTAGATTTATAAAGATGGTTGATTAATGAAACAATTTTGTGCTGGAAGGTGCTGGTTTTGGGTGGTGAACCTCAACTTGTCTACTTTATTTTTTAAGCATCCTTTAAGTGAAACTCAAATTATGACTTCCTGTATTATCATAAAGGGGATTTGCTCATTGCACGCTATGAGAGAAGTGGCCATTAGATAATGTGTGCTGTGAGAACATGAGAGACGGAGGGTAATGATTCATGATTTTGAAAATCAATTAAAAGAATTTCATTTTATAATTTTACGGGTGTATTTCTTGTAAATTTTGAATAATCTCAGATTCACTATCTACAGAATTGAAATGCAGTTGAGGTACTTAGTATATTGTTAATTAATTGTGATTGTTGTCTTGGATGATAATTGATTTGTTAACTGTACATATCTGTATAACATAATGTGGTAATCCAAAGGTATGAGTTGCATCCTATTTCTTGTTTTTAGGGATTTCTATCTGACGAGGACAAACTAAATAGGTTTCCTCACTGTCCATATGTGATTATTTATGGATATAAAAACTAAGAAATTTTACATTGAATGATTCGATTTGGCCTTTGTTCCCAATTGAAGAAAATCGCCAAAATATAGATAGCCATGTATCATTGCCGGTCATTGAACTGGGTAAAGATTTTCAATGGTTCACAGCCACTAAACAAATGAAAAACAAAATGGCAGAGGGCTCTTTATTGTCTTCTTATTCTTTAACATTTAGAGGATGCTTTGATAAGTAAAAGAATTTTCCACATATAAACTAACAATAGAAATTGTTAGTGTTAAGGATTGCCCATTAGAGTGACACTAAACATTTGTGACAATAACAGCATTACTAGATGTTTAGAAGTTTGAGTAATATAATAATATCTTCATTCATTGATTCTCCTTGTCAAACATTGCATGGAAATAAGTTCTAAATAGCAATAACTGATACATGATGAATGAATCAATTTGAGGAAATGATGGACATAATCGCCACAGATTCAAAACTGTACACATAATTAAAACATAAAAACTCTAGCCGTGCATATCTTCTCATTTTTATTGATGGCATTGATGTTTAGATTCCCAGATGTTAGATAGTTTGGGCACTTTTTTGTCAGTATATTTCTCATCTGCTTCATATTATAATTGAAAGAGGAAATTTTACCAGTACATTTGACCTATCACTGTTTCATTTGTAGCACCTGCTAAGAGTAGTTCCAGTTATTGGCATACTTCATGACAAGAAGGCATTCAAACCTGTTCTGAATCCTGCTGAAGTGGAGGCAGTATTTGATGCACCTTTGGAAATGTTTCTCAAGGTTCATACTCAATTCTATGTTTACCACGTTTCCTTCGTTCTTTATATTCATCTAGAGGGTGTCTGACTTCGTAGGATGAAAATCGGAGTCAGGAGGAGAGAGAGTGGATGGGAGAGAAGTATTTGATACATCACTTCGACTACAATGTTGAGCATAAAAGATACCTCATATGGGGTTTAACGGCTGGGATCTTGATTAGAGCAGCATCAGTTGTGTACCAACAACCACCAGCTTTCATGGAACAGAATCCTAAATTCAAGGTTCCACAGGTTGTATCCAACGATACTGTCATGCGTTGAGTTCAATGTTCAGTGTACTTTGTCCGTGACATTTGTTATTCACGGTGCAAAAATATTCATAAATAGAATCCATAGCAACTGTTTATAGAAAAAGGTACTGTCCCATCACTAGAATTCATATTCCTGCTCACCGATTGCCATCATAAAGTTGATAGAGTTGCGGACATTGCATTTGTTAAAAGAGTGCCAACGAGTCGTAGAAGCATTTGCTGACTAGTAACTTGTTTTACCTCAGTTCTTTAGGTCAGTTTGGCCTTTGTCCTCCCAAAAATATTTCATGGGTGGCAGGGCCCTATCAAAAAATATGTTTGGTCTTTTAATGTGTTTTCTTTGATTTGTTTGGTAGTTAGTTTAACTTAAATGATTCAAGAGTGTTTGACCAAAATAAAATGGTTCAAGAGTGGAAACACGTGGCATTTGCCATCCTAAAATTAAGCACTGATGTTGCTAGGTTAGTGTTGGAAGGCCTACTTGAATACAGGAGTTTATTTTGTGACTTATTTGTTGAACAGATTTGTCTCTACAACTCTAGTCATCTTATATGATGCTGTCAGCAAATTTTGGGAAAGGAAAATGAAAATGACAAATATGTCGAGACTTGTTGATATGCACCATATGCGGTGATACAGCCGTGGATTCGTGTAGGCACATATGCGAAAAATAGTTTTACTCTGGTTTGTATTATATATTTTAGATGTGTGGAGAAAGTTCATACTAAGAGGTTATCATTTTACCGAAATACTAATTGTTTTTTCAGAGCTAATAAAGGACTAAATGTCATTTGAGAAACATCTTTTTTATTTTATAGGCTTCTCAAGCATATGCCATTTCCCTTTATAACGATTTCGATTTGGAAATTTAGGGTAGTACCCCGCTCTTACTTTGTAAAGTTGCAGATTCAGAAGAAAATATAGAAAGATCCTCACACCGTATAACGCAATAGGCCTGAAGTTTCAATCTTGCTCATGTTATTGGAAGATGACCATAGAAAAGGTGAAAATGTAATAAGGAAAAGTGGTAACAAATTGAATAAACACTAGATATGTTCAGCTGAATACCTCATAAAATTTCTCAATGACAAGTAAACCTGAGTCTATGGATTCCAAGGGATCCTTTCGAAGACGGTGTCTTAGGCAGTTAGGGATGACAGTAGCAATATCCTCTGCACTTACCTTGTCTCTCCCCTTGAGGGAAGCAAGAGCTTTTGCAGCTCTGTTGGTTACTATGTCTCCTCTCAATCCATCCACATTCAACTCTGCACAAACCTTGGAGGTTTTTACCTTGAGATCATGATCAATTTGAACAGAAGAAAGATAACTCCTTGCTGAGGCAATTTGTTGCCGGAGCTTTTTCTGCTCTGCCTTGTAAGAATCTCGGAACTCCTTTGGGTTCTTGTCAAAACGAGCTCTCTCCTCCACAATCTTAACTCTAAGCTCGGCATCCCTTACAGTTCCTACTTGAGCATGCATTCCAAACCTGTCCAGCAGCTGTGGCCTGAGTTCCCCTTCTTCAGGGTTGCCTGAACCAATTAAGATAAACCTAGCAGGATGTGAGATTGAAATACCCTCTCTCTCCACTGTGTTCCAACCTGATGCAGCAGAATCCAACAAGACATCAACTAAGTGATCATCCAAAAGATTAACTTCATCAACATATAGAATTCCCCTATTAGCTTTAGCCAGTAGGCCAGGCTCAAATGCCTTTACACCGTCAGTGAGGGCCTTTTCAATGTCAATTGTACCACAGACTCGATCTTCCGTAGCTCCCAATGGCAAATCCACCATGTTAATTTTGGCGAATACAACCTGAAGTTGTTCTCCTTTCGACACCCGCTCTCTCACTTCAATACCCATGAATTCTGGATCTTCTGGATCTGAATTATATGGGTCACCAGCAACAACCTTGATTTCAGGAAGCAAATCAACCAATGACCTAACAGTTGTAGATTTCCCTGTTCCTCTATCGCCCATGATCATTACACCTCCAATCTTGGGATCAATCACATTTAGGAGAAGGCAAAGCTTCATCTCGTCCTGTCCAACTATAGCAGAAAATGGGTACACCGGCCTTTGGCTTTCTTCAAAAGCAATCTTCTGAGTCTGGATTAAATTTACATAGTTAAGAAGTTATCAAGACAGAAAACAAAAATTGCAAAGGAGCAACTTTAATCTCACTAAGGTTAAGAATGACACGAGCAAAAATGGCAAGGTGAAAAACAGTTGAGTAAAAACCTGACAGGGTTTTAAGGTATTTGCACGCTACAATATAAGCCCTAGCCTTTTTTGTCATTTGACATTTCATCCCTATCAAATCAAACATCAAATGTGTACGCTTAATAGAAACTGATATACAAAATATCTCTCTATATATGGACCAAAAATTACATCAAAAGTTCAATCAATGCTTTGCTGAAATCATTGCAGATGTTCAATGACCCATAAAACATGAATCTTTCTCCAACAAAACCTAGAGTGCAACAAAAGTCCACTTTGCACCCATTCTACGTGAAAACTCAACGCAAAAGCCAGTATTATAGTAGCTTTTAATTTCCCTGATTGAAGAATGCCCTGAAAAATTATGGCAAAGGTAAAAAACACTGCAATAAATTCTGACTTCAAAACTGAAATATCCCTTACCTACCTGTTCTGCAGAGTTAACTTCAGTGGCAACACTCGCAACTGGGAACCGATACCTTCCCTTGACGCCATGAAATCCACAAAACTTGCGCCCAAATATTTGCCCTGCAAAGCCATAAACAAACATTCAATAGCACTGAAAACAGTGACACAGTGCTGGCAACCCCCCAAATTCCATTTCGGTTTAAAACACCCAAAGACCAGATATGAAATTCTCGCAAACCCACCAAAAACAAAGTTTCCGATGAGGGTTAAAAGAAAAAGCGAACTTTGGGAGACTATATACCTGTGGTTAGAGAGAGAGGGTGAAAGGAAGGGGAAGAAGAGTGGTATCGTGAAGGGAGGAAGGTAATTGAAGAAGTGCTGAACATGGACGCCATTATTTGTATGCAGCTTCTTCCTTTGTGCTGTCGCGCTTTTTACTCACATACACAGTCCAGCACTCAGATTGGTAAGTGAGGCACTGAGGCTAAGGATAAGAAGAAAGAAGAATAAAGAAAGATTTGATCCATATCACTATTTCAGTCGTATCTCTTTCTCGTCTCTCCTTTTAATCATTACCCATTGTTTAGCTTTTGTTAAAGTTTATAAAGATGGTATGCACCGTTTGCGAAAACATTTAAAAAAAAAAAAAACCCTAAATTCTCTTATTTATTATACCTATAATTTTTTATTATTATATTAAAAATATTTATATTTTTAAAATAATAAACATATACATTTTTATTTAATACATACTTATAAAAGTAGAAGAATTATTAAAAAAATCTCTTTATAAAAAAAAATTGCAGAAAAATATAATAAAGTTTAAGAAAAACTAGGTTGCTACTATTAAAAAAATGGACTCCTATACTCTTGCTAGCTAGCAATGTTTGATTATTTTTAAGGACTATATTTGATTGTTCAGTTTATTGGTTGAGACGTTTATTAACTATGGGTAAGAACAATCTTCTTGTCCTTGTCCCTTTATTTAAGTATTAATTTTTAAAAATAAATTACCAAAATATAACTTTTTTAAAACTATTTTTTTTTATTTTTTCTGTCACGTGTCATAAATTTTATTATTTCAGTTAGTAAAATTTTAATTTTTTATTTTAAAAATAAATTTTATTATTAAAACACTCGTAAGATATTAACATGTGTCAACTTATTTTTAGTTTCATAACTATTATAGTAAAATATAAAATTTGTATTAATAAAAGTTAGTTTCAGTGGTAAATAATTTGGTATTTCTCAAACAAAGTCTTGTATTCGAGTTTTTCTATATGCAAAAAAATTTTAATAATAAATTCACTCATCTAGATTTTTTAATATATTATAATATGGATAAATTATTATCTTCATCCCTTAAATATTCAAGTATAATGTTTTAATTTTTTAAAAGGAAAAAATTTATATAATTTCATGCTCCCAATTTTGTCAAAAGTAAAAGAAAATTCCTAGAGGTTAAATATATTTTGCCCCTCAAAATATAACAAATTCAAACAAAGAATAATTTTTAAAATATAAAATAAAAAATATATTTAAATCAAATCCTAATTTTGATATTCAGCTGAAGATATTTTACATGATAAAATAAATAAAATGATGACACTTTGTACTATTAATAATTAAATTGGTATAAAAATATTTAAAGGAGTTATACTTTTTCAAATATGAAATTAATAGAAGGCAAACGTCAATGATTAAATTATTAGTTTTGTTAACTCCGGTTATTAAGATTAAGTTTAAAGATTTAAAAGTAGTACATCTTTAGTTTTAAAAAAACATCTGCTACACTTTTGTATTAAAGTAATAATTATTCTTAAAAAATAATATTTTAGACGTTTTAATTCAATTTTAAATATTGAAATTAATGAAATCATAAAATTAATATTTTGTTTGTTTTGCAGTGAGAAGTGCTGATATCATAAAATGAGTTTTTATTCACAATTTTTTATTTAAAAAGTAACAAATATTAAAATAGATGGTTATGATGGAATCTGGATTGAAGATCCCACTGCAGACGATCCATGAAAACTCTGTTGAAATGTCTCGTGATTCCCGTAACGTGACTTTCAAAACGCGAAGACAAACAAACTAATGCGGTGACTAACAGTAACACTAATATTTTAGTTGGAGGCAAACCTTTACATAATAAAAAGATTATATTGTACTAACGTAAAAGTAAGCCTAAAAGCACTCTTTGTTTGCCCTTTATTCTAATACTAACAAATGCTCTTAAAACATTGATTAAGGAATTAAAAATAAAAAATACTAATAAATATAACAATGCACTTACTTTTATAACTTTTATTAATTAATACATATTAACATAATTTTTAATTAAAAAATATAATTTCTTAATTAATGAGTACCTTTTGTTGATAAAATCCTTAAAAATTTGCGAGAATAAGTGATAGTTAAATCAAATTTTTATGAATCATGCATTTCTAACAAGTTAATTACAAAACATTAAATAAATAATATTAATATAATAATACTAACACAAGTAATGGCAAATTTATTTAAATAATGTTAATTTAAAAACAAATTCTTAATATAAGTATCTTTAGAGATAAATTATCTGTCTGGTATTAATTTTGGTCAGATCAGTATCTATGTCGCATATGCATGTTAGATAGTAATTTTTTTTGTTAATTTTTTAATACACTATCATTTGAGGTAATCAATACTAGTTTAAATGTGAACACGTGGTCGAGAGAGAAGAAGTATCGCCAAAACAAGAGATGATCTGGACAGGTGTATCGGCCGGTTCCATACGATAAAGCATGAGTGACTGACATGTGGCAACGATAGCTGTATCGCTGGTCAAATTGCGTTTGCGTTGTCGGTTGTAGAGTACGATACAAATACAACACTTACACGTGTAAAAACTGCTGGTTATTAACCAGATTGCATTATTTATCCACGAGTTGATCTATCTCTATATATATCGCACTGTGTGAAATGGCCGCAACGTGAAGCTAGAAAATTTTTGCAGAGCTGAAGGTTGAGAGGTTAGTTAAATTTGTGAATTTATGTTATTTATTTATTATGATTTTTAATTATATTTGGGTTGAGAAAAATATAATATTTTATATTTATTATTTATATGAAATTGAATTTTTTTAATGAGTAGTTAAAATAAAATCGTATTAGTGTGATGAAGAAAAATTTTATTAAGAAAAAAAATGATAAATAGTATGTTATTATGTATTAATAATTAAAATTTTTGTAGATGTTATTTAAAAAATTACAAAAGTGTGAGAATAAATATAAAAAAAGATAATAAAATTAATTTTAAATAAAACTGTTATAAAAATTTTGGCTGATTTGAGTAAAAATTTATTAACTATATAAATAAAACTTGGCATATAAAGTTATGTCTAATAAAATTTATAAGCTGGTGTGATAGGTTACGTTGGTTTTAATATATAAAATTTAAACAATTTAATAATGCATATAAAGTTGTTGTTTAATTTACGTTGATATTTAAATATAATATACTAAATGTATTGTGTTAAAAAATTGAAGAAAAAAATATAAAATATATGTTAATGCATTATTATTTAATCTTGTATGGGTAGGGTCCTAATTAGGTACATATAGTAAGAATTATATTACTCTATTTATTTTATAAAATTATTAATTTTGATTGATTAATTTGTTTTATGTAAATTTAATTTGTTAATGCAGGATAAATGATTTTGTGATAATAGTATATTAGAATGGTCGAATATTCTCAAGTAACGAGAGTGTTATCTTTAAAAGAAATAATAAAATGATTAAAATTGAACGTGAAATAAGTTTTGAAATATTGAAAGGAAAAATTCATAAAAAATTGAAATTTTTTACTAATCAAGTTATATCTAGATTGATTTCACTATTTTTAGTAGAACCAAGTAGAACCAATTGGTAGACAATACACGATGATAGTTATATGTAATGATGAAGATATTGATTGTATATTAAGTATTTCTTTACAACAAAATCAGATAATTGCAATTGAAGTATATGCAGATATTGCTTCCGGTAAAAGTTCTTGTATTCGATCAAAATGTGTGCTTTTAAATGTTTCAATTTTATGTGACATTACAAGTGATGATGATGAACCTCCATTTGAATTAGGTATAGTAATGTTTTTGGTTTGATGAAAAATAAGATTTAATTTGTTATAACTATCTTTACATAACAACAAATTTTATGCTTATGTAGAAAGTGAACATGAGGATGAGAAAGTTGATGACAACAAAAATGAATGAAAATTCTCAACAGATAGTTCTTCTGATACATAGAGGATGAATTTAATTTGATATTGAATAGTCATGAAAATGCACAACATGGAGGTAGGACTGGTTTTATAATTTAATTTATATATTTCATGAATAAACTATATTAACTTCAAGGTTTGGTTGTAATGTAGGCGTGATTGAAACTCCTTTTTAGAATTCAAGTCTACATTATACTCATATTAATTGGGAATATGCTGATCAAGAAATGGACAATTTAGATGTTCATATAGATGAAACATGGAAGGAGGATAATGCATTATATGTTGGCCAAGTATTTGAGTCTAAAGATGATGTAAAAATGACTATTAAACATTTTGTAATGAGAACACATCAAGGCTATTTTGTAGTGAAATCAAAACCAACAAACTTGCATGTAAAATGTCCAAATCATACAAGTGGATGTCCTTAGAGAGTTAGAGCAACATTGAACAAAATTTATAACAGGTGAAAAATCACAAGATGTGATAATGATGTCTTTAGACTACAAAAAAACTTAATTCAAACTTTATTAGCTTTTGTGTTCTTGATAAGTTTTACTAAACTAATTATCATTGTTTAGGGTTTATCTTGTAAAATTTATTCAAGAACGTTACTAATATTGATATTCTTAATTATTTTGTAGATATAGTAAAAGAACAACCATAGGTGCCAATCACATTAATTCAAGAAAGAATTAATGGTTAATTTAATTATCAAGTTTCTTACAAGAAAGTATGAAAGACAAAACAAAAAGGTATTGTAAGGGTTTTTGATGATTAGGATGAATCGTATACTACATTACCAAGATGGTTAGAATACATGCAATTTATGATCTTGGGTTTGTTTATAAGATTGAAGCGTTATGGTGCATTCTTCAAGTGATATATGAAAGGTGTGTGTGTCTCAGGCCTCAATCTTTCAACTAATGCGATGATTAAATGCCTATCCAATGGAAAGTTGGCAAGCTGTGCCACTCCAGTAAAGCCAACCATCTTTAAATGTGATAGAATCTTCGCGGGAATAACATCTAACTTAGCTAATATAAACTGACACTTCCTAATCTTCATCATGAGATGCTCTCGACCATCCCAAATATGTTCAGACACATGTATACTTTGAAATTGCAACAATGATGAATTCTCTGACCCTGGATTAATCACTAGACCTTATGAAAAAGATAAAGTCATCTAATAATTTGAAATAAAATGTTAATATTATTAACATATTAAACATGACAATCAATTAATAAAATTAATAATTAAACGATTTAAATACACTACAACAAATTTAGTCAATCAAGTTACATAATAATTGTAAATATACATAATAATCATAATAATTGTTTATAATATTATAATTACATATTCATACTTAATATTATTTTAATTTTATATTTATACTTATTAACATTACAAATATAGTTACTACAAATTAGCATTCATATTAAAAATTCTTTTTATTTGCATACAAATTTTATTATAGCCGTACTACTTTAATATTTATGTATGATAATATAATTATTAACTTATATAAATTATTTGTTCAATATTTCTATTAAACCTTTTACCTTTAATATACCAAAATTCAATTAATGTTATTTAATTTAATTCTTACTTTATTACATTTATTTATTTTATGTGATATTATAAAGTTCTTTCGTAACAAATAATTAATATTAATATATTTTTCTATCCATTTTATAAATTTATTTCCTTATATATTATTATATTATAGAAGTCAAGCTCAAAAGTTTTACAAAAAAATAAGTATAATTATAATTTTACGTAATTACATTTTTTAATAAATTTATCAATATAAATTCTATTTGACTCTATAATAACCTAAAATTGAATTTTTTAACGTATTATAAATATAATTCTAACAAGTTATGTTTTTTTTTTCTATCTGTAATAAATTTTTTAAGTAAATATTACTTTTAACAATATTACAATTTTATTATTTTAGATCTTTCTATATTTCATTTCAATTATTTTTTAAATTTCCTCTACATATTGTCATTAAAAATTAATTTATTTTTAAATTTTATTATTTAAATTTTATTATTTCTAATTTATTGGTAACAAGTTTTAAATTACTGATTACTATTTTTTGAATTTCTTTACCTAAACTTTTGTTTCACTCTACTCAAAATTATTCTACATTTAAACATTTTTTATTATATTATATTTTTAATACCTTTAATTTACCCTCTAATTAATGTTAACAATAATAAAATTTATTACAAATTTTATTTAATTTTTAATATTTTATTATGCTTTTTTATATTTTTTAATTTCACTAATTATCTATTTTTTTTATCTCAACCAACTTAATATATTATTATACTGTAATTATACACTACTGTAATTTAAATTTACTATTTTATAAAACACTCAACCAAATTTTTATTTTATTCACAATTACAAAAAAAAAATTTCATCTAGTTTTACTAACCTTACAAAATTTTTTACACAAAATTTACCATTTTTAAAGTTAACGCACTTAAACCTAAACATATTACAAATTTTACAAACATGTCATTATTGCTAAACTTCAGATTAAATATAACAATTAATTAGCAAAAAAAATATATAACAATAATTAATCAACTTCTAAATCTATTTTTTAACTACAAAAATTAATTCAAATATTACATTTTCAATTATTTTTACATAAAATTACGGAAAATATATATAAACACTTAAATAAATCATAAAAAATTATATATAAATTTTTTATTCATTCCTAACCTCTTTGTTACCGATTGTAAATGGGTTCCACTTCTATACTCTCTGACACCGGCAGCTGTAAAAATAGAAAACATAACAAACTGTTATTTTTTTCTAAATAAAATAAATATTTTTTTTTCATAAAAGTATTTTTACCTTTCGATTCCGCACAAAATAACACTGCCAAAATCAAAGCATGGTTTCCAAATATTTAACACCAATAATGCATAAAATGCTTCACACCGGCGTTAATGGAAGATAGTGCAGGAGCGGAATAAGAAGCCATTTTGCGGCATCCCTTTCGACAATGCCACATGTCCTCATCACAATAAATATCGCCACATATGCTTCGATAGCGTAGTCGAGAAAGCAGAGTCGACACTGCATTGGATTTAAACACGTGTCCTAATTCTCCCTCCTAGCCGTTGATTTTAAAACGATATCCTCGATATTGAAACGATACAAATGGTCATCCGACACGTGGCGTTTATCGTCTTTATTTGTTTGATATTATAAAATTATTTATTTATATTTAATTTTTATCTAAATTATTTATTAAAAAAAATATTGTTATTGAACATGCACGTGCGATATAAATCAGACAGAGAATTTGTTTCCAAAGATACTTATATTAAAAATTTGTTTTTAAATTAACATTATTTAAATAAATTTGCCAACAAGTAAGAGACACTTCAAAACTCCTTCACTCATTAAGTTAAAAAACTCGGCTTCGTAACGAATTCAGTTTAGATTTGCCATGAAATATACTTCATCTAAGAGGGGTCAAATAGCAATTGGCTTCACGACACAAAAGAACAAAAAGCGTGTTTGAATGTACAATTTGATTAAATAATTTTTTAACAATAATTTATATTATAAATTCAACTATATATTTAAATAAAATAAATTAAAAATAACTTATTTTCATAAGTTATACAATACGATTGAATACACAATTTAATTATAACACTTATTCAACATAATTTTTTAAAAATGGATTTTAATTATAAAACTTACTAAAATAAGATATTAAAATAAAATAAAAGATACTTGCGAAAGTTATAACCTATTTTCATATACTGTTCATAAGTTTTACGAAACAAAAATGGATCCCTAAACTAGAGACAAGCTCAGCATAAGTCACAACTTCAGCAAAACCAGAAACAATTAATTATCAAGGTTCACAAACAGTTATAAACATAGAGAACCATACAAATGCTTCTTGCTAAACTCAAAAGGAAAGTTACGGAGATTCTGGCAACCAAGACGTCGTCCTCAATAAGCAGGTAATTCAACAACAGAATCTATATAGTTTTTTTCCTAAACTGTAAGACATGTATGGGTAGTTATGATTTGTCTTTTATGTTGTCACCAAAAGATACGCTAGGCCTTTCAGGTATTCAACAATCTCTGATCCACCAAGCTTTGAACTTCCAAATACTCTATCAACAAACGTGATTGGAACCTGTACACGTTTGAATCTTAAGTCAGCTATGAAGTGAAAATTAACAGGGTGATAAGTATTGAACAGGGTAATCATATTAAGAACTGTAAGCCATCCACTTCTCAGGTATTTGGGAAGGAGAAGGTGTAGCAAACACAAAAAGGAGGGGGAAAAAAGGCTAAACTGCTGAAGCACATTAAGTAAACACATCTTGTACCTAACAACTATTCAAATTTCACGCATAAGAGAAATGCATATATAGATTCAAATATTAAAGTTTAGAACATTACATTTTTTATCTAATCAAATGCATAAAAAGTTAAAAACTTCTTTGTAATGAACTGTGGAATAACAAATGCTGATTGCTTAAACATACAAAGCATATACATATATCATGATTATTCTCACCCATTACTGAATCAACTTTAAGATAAGCCCAAGGCCAACCAAAGCCACATGATTAGGGTGTATATATACATTTGGAAACACTTTTAGTTTGAGGATTCCCCAACAAATATGCGTAAGCTGCAGCCAATTATAACATACAGTTTTAAAAAGTGACATGTTTCATTGTTCAATTGACATGTTTACGAACAAAAAGTTAAAGTTATATATCAAAATAAATTATGCTAATTATATCAAGGGTCAAGACATGGACGAATGGCATGCACATAGTGTAAAGATCAATGCTATTACATACCTGAAAGCCAAGACCTAATAAAGTCAGCATAACAACCAGGTCAATATTAATCATAAAGTATCATGAATTAAGCAACTGTACCTCCTCAATATGATACCCTTTTCTGGATGCTCGTACTATCATCTCCATTTGAAAGACATATCCCTTACTAACACAGCAACTAATGATATCTTCAAGCACTGATTTCCTGTAAAGTCTACAAAGAACAACAATACATCACTCTCAAACCAGGCAACAGGGGAGCAACCAACTCTCACCAAACTACTAATAGTCTAATACCAATTCTCAAGCTTTATACCTAAAAGACCCTGTCAAATCTGAAACACCAGGCCATAATAGCGTTTGTGCAAGAACATTTGCTCCCCTGCTAGTTAGCTTGCGCATAAGATTCCATCCATGCACACCACCACCTTTAACATAACGAGTCCCTATAACTATATCAGCACTGGTTTCCAACTGCTTTCTGAAATACAAAAGGAAGGATTCATTAAAGTGTGGCAGGTAACAATAAAAAAAGAAAGAAATTATTAAAAACTTTACCTAATGAAGCTTGGCAAATATTTTGGCTGCACAAGAACTAAATAGATCAGACAAAGAGAAATAAATAAGACAAAAATAAAATTCTGCAAAATATAAATTCTCTAAGCTAAAAATATGACAAAGAGGTTCATCCAACTCTTAATTTTTTTATTCCCTTTCAAATTTACAGATGATTATATATGGCTGGAAACAGTTTTGTGGCTGATGAAAAAAATTGCATCAGGCTGTGTTATTTTGCATTTGAAAGTGTGAGAATCATGGTTGTATCCTAAAATAAACAGGCTCTTAATCGTACTTCATAAATGCAAACTATCATTGACAAGTGAACAGCATAACTTACATGGTGTGATAGATCAGCATCCATGATGACGACAAAATTTCCAGATGCATGCTTCATGCCATGAATATAAGCAGTTCCTGCAAATTAATTGTATCAAGGGCTAATTTATCAAAATCATTTAGTACAAGTATCAGGAACATACCTAAACCCAGTTTCCTAGGTCGTGCTCTTAGCAGCTGGAACCACAGGAATAAACATTGTTACTCTAAATGATATGAAGGGGGAAGAGATAAACCCCCCAGAAAATACGATGTATCAGGGATGACTAGTTGATCTATATGAAAATTCAATATGTATAAGTCACTGCTTACAATCCGATCTTCTCCATAAACCTGCTGTAGTTGTTTTACAACATCCTGAGTACCATCTGGACTCCCATCATCCACAACAATAATTTCAAAATCCACATCCCTGATTGAGCAACAAATATAAGCATTCATAAACATTATTAATCATATATAGAGATGGCATAGAAGAGATAGTTTTCTAAGATTTTCACAAGGTAAAAAACAAATTTCCTAACTAAATTCTCTCCCTTTATATTCCTCAAATTGTAAGATACCCACTGAGGACCCAGCTTATAAACTAAATCCATACTAATACAGAGAAAAAAACAACAAGAAGGGAGCAGATATAAATATAATTATGAGATTGAGAAATTACCGAAGGTGCTTGAAAATGAGGTAAACAATGAGACCAATGTTGAGACGCTCATTATAGGTTGGAACAATTATACTGTACTTGTTTTTTTGCTTCTGATGTTGCCCATCCATTCTAATCTGAACTCAAATCCACTCAATGCAGTGAGTTCAATGAACTACCACAGACGCACACACACAAACAGAAGGAAGCACATATAATGCAGCAAAGTATTGGACAATGTATTTCTAATATGATAGACCAAACAATAATATCAATTATCACTGTCTTATACATTGAAGCAAAACTCCACCAGGAATTATAGTTAAATATGAGCTTCCACGAATGTAATACAAAACAATCAACGTGTTATGCATAGAAAGTGAAATTTCTTTCAATATACTTATGCTGATCCAGTTTATATAATGTTTTGGAGAAGTATGATACAATTTTATGTTACATTAAGACATTGCTTTCTGATTTTCAGAAGCATAATATAAATGGTGAATACGATTGTAAACAGCAAAGAGTAAGAACCACTGAAGTATTCGCCACTAGTCACCACAATTGCAGCAACGGTTAGGGTTCAAACTTCAATGATTGAATCGTGAACAAGCAATAGGGGAATCCAAACGAAGTTACGAGAGTTCGTCGGATTAAGGATCACAGATAACAGGAGAATCAGAGAGATTTGGAATAGAATTCGAGAGAATCACAGAGCTTAGGGACGTGACTTAGACGGAGCAGAGATCCTCTCAAATTCATCGAAACGAAACAAAATTAGTAAAGACTCTTCTTATTCAGAAGATTCAACAACAACAGCTCACCCAAATGGATAAGCTGAGAAAGTGGTTTTGCCGATAACAAAATCTAACACTAACAGATTCTGTCAAATAACGCAGGATTATTGTGATTAAAGAAAAGTACAGCGCAAGTGGCAGAGATGAACTAACCTAACGACGCTAGAAAACAGAAGTGACGGAGAACAAACAATTCACGAGCAATGGCAGCTTCAGGCGAGGGCCAACGATCAGCTCCGAAATCAGAGACGCCAACCCATTGCTTCCTCTTTTTATTTATTTCTTTTACATTTTATAATGGGTTTAATTGTACCTTTAATTTATTTATTTATTTTAAATTATAAGTGACTTTGGTTATTTAAATATTTTAATTATTTATTATTTTTAAAATTAAATAATTTATAATTTTTATTGAATTTATTTTACTCAAAATCATTTCTCTACTTGTAAAATCATTTAATTTTAGTCTTTAAATTATAATTATACAATTTAATCTTTTATTTTTAATTATAATCACTTCTTTAGTTATCGATAAATATCTTTTAAGAATTTTGTTAACTAACATTCTTGAATTACTAAGATAAAAAAAAAGATAATTTTTTAATTAAAAATAACATTAAAATGTATTAAAATTACAACAAAAAACATATTAAGAATATTTTATTAAAAACTATTTTTTATTTCTTGATTAATGTCTTGAAATATTTGTTTATATTAATTTTTTAATATATATATATATATATATTAAAACAATAAATAATACTTTTTTATTAAAAATTATTCTATTTAACCTTCATAATATATTAAATTTTATAATTTTTAATAATTATTTTATTATATATTCTCTTATTAACATTAGAAAAATATTTTTTTATTATCATAAATTAGTAATGATAGTAGAATTGACTTTTGTTAACTAAATTCTTATTTTAGCTCATGAGATAATAAGTGTTTAATATTTAATTTTTAAAATTTTAAAAAATATCATATTAGCCTTTGACTTATATTTTTATAAGACATTTTAGCTCATATTTTTATTTTTAATTATTATCAATAAAAAATAATAAAATATTATGTGATATGTTTATTAAAAATTATTTTTTATTTCTTGATTAATTTCTTGAAATATTTGTCTGTATTAATTTTTTAATATATATATATTTAAAAACAATAAATAATAATTTTTTATTAAAAACTATTCTATTTAACTTTCATAATATATTAAATTTTATAATTTTTAATAATTATTTTATTATATATCTGCTTATTAACATTAGAAAAATATTTTTTTATTATCATAAATTAGTAATGATAGTAGAATTGATTTTTGCTGACTAAATTTTTATTTTAGCCCATAAGATAATAAATGTTCAACATTTAATTTTTAAAATTTTAAAAAATTATCACATTAGTCTTTAATTTCTATTTTTACAAGACATTTTAGCTCATATTTTTACTCTCAATTATTATCAATAGATAATAATAGAATATTGTGTCATATGTATCATTAATTATGTGATAAAAATATATCGTATATAATATGATATGTATTTTTATTTTATTTTAGTCTATAAAGTTATCATTTCTAAGCATTTTAGTCTCTAATTCTTAAAACCTTAGAGAACTAAAGACTAAATTGACTTAATAACTGAAAATTTTAGAGATTAAAATAAAATCAAAACATAATCATATGATATCGATTTTTATTACATAATTAACCATTCATGTTACTTAATATAACCTTAGAGAATAAAACGGAATAAAAATATATAATTTTTGTTACATAATTAATAAACATGTATAATGAGAAAATATTAAATAAGAATTGAAATAATGAATGAATAAACAATGGATAATATGGATTAATCTCTATATGTATACAATGAAGAAGAAGATTGCTATGCAAAAATAGCAACTATAGAGACATTAGAGGGGAGAAACAAAATACAACAGCACTTATTATACCTTGATAAATGCCATATTTTAATAGTTTTTAGTGTATATTTTGACACTTATTTTATTCTTTTTCAACATAGTTTGCACTTATATTTCTTGCAATTTATATTTTCATGCAATTAATTTCATGTCATTAAATTCAGCAATTTTAATTTTAATTTTTTCAAATAATAGAAGATATTTAATCCACTTTTCTTGTATAAATTTTCTTAAGGGTAAAGACTTGATAATGTGTTCACATTTATAACTTTATTATGTCTTCAAAACACTCTTCATATGCTTCATTTTGAAACTTTTTACCATTTCTTATTAATAGAAATGATTTTGGCTTATTTTACATTAATATTTTAATTTTGTATTTTCAGCTAATTTGACATTTGTATATTCTTCTGGTCATAATTTTTTCTATAGATATTATTTTTGACTAATTCTAGTTGGATTGGATTTTACATATCCAAAGGCTTCAAAATGCATATATGGTTTAATGAATTTGGATTTTTTTTCCTATTTTTTTATGACTTTTAAAAGATAAGACAAATTTGCTAAAGTCGCCCAGATTTTCAAGTATTGCTCAAGCAAGAATTTTCTCACTTGAGCTCACTTGAGTGAGAAATGTAAAATTCAAACCAGTTTTTTTTGTTGGTTTTCTTGCTTGAGCGAGAATTACCCTCACTCAGGCGAGAATTGTCTTGGTTGAGCGAGAAGACCTGTAGTTTTGGATTGTTTTTTGCTTGAGCGAGAATTGACTTACTGAAATGAAAATTCACTTATTGCCCTATAAAGATAGAAAATTTGACTCAAAAAGGAAGAATTGGAAAGGGCTTTAGAGCCCTAGCATACAATGACCTAATTTTGGCATTACAGAACAGTGGAGGAGCTTGGGAAAGTAACTAAGAACCATTAGGGAACTAATTTCAATCTTTTTTTCTTGCATTTTCTTATTGTATTATGCCATAAACGGTAAGAACTCTCTAGGGATTGGATGTAATCTTCATACTTTGAATGTTTTAGTATTTTTAATACATGTTTGTTTATTTGTCATGAGTTTGGTGTGTTTATCTTAATTGTAATGGTTGTTTCTACTTTACGAGAAATGATTCATGATCTGCGAATCTAAGTTGAGTGTGACATCTAACTTAGGACCAACTAAGATAAACTCACGCAATAGGTTAATTTATAAATAGGTTCCAACTTATTGTATGTTATATAACTCTTGTTAGTATTGTCAGAGTGTTTCTTGTTTAGATAAAAAATTATCACTCAATAAAATACTCTTAAAATCTCGAGTGCAAGGAATCAAAACGAGTGAATATAATGAGAGTGCGTTATAAAACTTTAGTAATTGTTCAATATGTATTAGAACTAAAATATGAAGATGATGATAGATGAAGTTCAATCCCCACCTTGATTCCTCTAAAAATGAAGCTTGAAAGTCGCCCCAATCTCTCTCTAGCTTTCCTAGGATGTTAAAACAAATGGAAATGAAAAAATGACAAAATATCCCAATTCTGAACTCTCAACTGCTATTTATATTTTTCCTGCCTCTTTTCACGTTAACACTTTTATCACTGAGAGTAATAAAGTAAAAAGCCTTCCAAAAGCTTCTAAGGTTGAAGTATAAACTTTAATCGTCCAAAGTTGACACTTGAAAGTAGTTTCCCAAATTATGTTATTGCGCGTAGACACTTTCAATAGCAAGAGTTGCTACGTGCATGTGTTCAATGTGAATTTGTCTTGCATGTAGCTACTTTCAGGAGCCAGAGTGGCTACACACAATTGCGCTTTGGTACTTTAGCTGCCCAAAGTTGTTACGCACAAGTCTGTTATATGTTTTAACCTTGCGCGTAGCTACTTTCAGTACCAAGAGTTGCTACGCGCAGGCTTTCTGTGTGAATTAGGCTTAAGCGTTGATACTCTTACTAGGTAAAGTGTTTACGCGTAAGTCCTTTCATGAATTTTGTTGCTGGAGTAGTAACTTTCAGCACTTAGAGTTGTTATGCAATTGATATTTATAATTTTTTTTTTCAAAGTATTAATACTATGCACCTAAAGTTGCTATGCCCAGCACATATCACTTTATTCTTGATCTCTTAAGCTCAATTCTTCCAGTTTCTTCAATTGAATCTCAACTTTAAAGTCTTAAACTCAAGCTTTTGTACAAAATTAAGTCTTTTTAAGCAGAATTGTTTCAAAATTAGAATAAAATCTAAAATTTCAAGTTATTTATACAATTATGAATAACAATGCAATTTTTATGATATTTTGAAGTTTATTTATTATTTAACTACTTATTTACTAATAAAAACAAAGCTAAAAATGTATTAAAATGTGAATTTATCAGTTGTAATATAAGATTTTAGTCATTAGTAACTAGAGGAAGTGGAATATATGATTGTTGATGAACACCTTGGCATGACTTCAATGGTGACACATGAAAAATAAGATTCAAGTGGTTGAGGGCAACAACAACTTGTATGCAACCGAACCACACATTAGATAATAGGGAAAGGACTAAAACATCTCCTATGCCTAGTTTTTGGTTTTTTCTTAATGCAATAGAATGTTGTCTAAAAGGTTGGAGCTTAACCAATACCATATCTCCAACTTTGAATTTTACATGGTGTCTCCTCTTATCAACTTGCTTCTTTATATACTATTGAGCCTTATGCAGAATGTCCTTTAACCGATGCAAAACAAAATCACATTGCTACATCAACTCCTATAATGTTGGAGGATCATTTGAATATGTAACATACTTGTCAATCTAAGGATGATCCTGCACAAACTACCTTGAATAACATCATACTTGTACTGAGGTGGTACAAAGCATTAAAAGAAAAGTGATGTTATTGTTCCAATGATTGAATATGATGGATATTGTAGTTTCAAGTCCTCATCTTCCTTGAATTGGAACAACAAGTATTATTTGTTGGGGTATTTATGGCTAGGTAATAATTTCTCATCACAAGTGAAACACAATCCCTTCTCCATTCTTAATTGTATTTTTATAGCAAATATTCTTCTAACATTAGAAAACTTAATTGATTGTTGGTTGGGTTGGTTTGTAGTGTTTGGGTTGGGTAACAAAGGTGGTAGGCTCATGGATTTGGTTGTTTGTGCTACAGATGATGGTTGGTATTCTGGGTGAAGGGTAGGCGAATGTGGCTTTTTATTTAGGCAGGTATTTCTCTTTAGAAAGCTTAGCTAATGAAATAACACATAACAAGGAGTTTGGATTTTGAGTAATAACACCTATACGAATGTCAATCTTGAGGTCACTAAGGAAATAATCAAGTAAAGCATATGTAGTAATTGTTAAAATTTTTTATAAAATTCATTATTGGTTACAATTAATTGTGATTTTTTATTTTGTCAAAAACAAGCTAATATTGTGATTCATTTGAGGATACTTAAGCCTACTAATAATGTGATCAATTACTTATGGACTTTGGACACTTAATACTAATTATGTGATACATAGTGTGAACCTAACCTTTAGGCCCATGATGGGAGGTGCTTAAGGTTAATAAATATTGTGACTAAGTCTCTTTTGCTGTCAGGGAAACACATTTCATTGCTCTCTAGGTTTGTTCCAATGAGAACATATGATTAAAAAAGCATGATTAGGTAAAGGAAGATCTTTATTTTTCACTTATGTCTACAACAAGTAAATAACTTTATAATTGCTTTATAATTGGTATTCTAAATTCATATAAAAGATCTATCAAATTTTATTCTTACATTTGGTATAAGAACTTATCATTATATGATTTAAGATCTAATTATTAATTTTTAATTAATTTGAATTTAGATTAAATTATATGGTATTATTTTTTGTTGTTGTTTGTATCATTAATAGTTTATTTGCATTGATATATATCATATTACCGATTGTGATTTTAATTTTTAAATTGATTCAATTTCAATTTCAATTGAATTATTACTTCTGTCATTGCATTGTTGTGATATGATATTAATCTGAATCTGAGCTGTTGCAATGTGATATTGATTTGATATTTATGAGTTTTTTTTTGCTAAGTTATTGTGATGCAATATTAATTTGATGCTGTTGGCCACTTAATCCAATATTTATGCAATATTGTTGCTAGCCACTAGCACAAGGGTTAATAACAAAAAAAAATTAAAATTAAAGTTGTAAAGAATTAAACCTGAGACTATGATTTTGTTGAACCAACACTCAACTAATGTGACATTACTAATTTATGTTATGTATTTTATGGTGAATAATATGTTACTTTATTTTGCATAAGATTATATTCATGCTTGCATTATCATTGTTATATGTTAATGTTTTGTTGTTAGGTATAGTTGATAAAATTATAATTGTTATTATGTTGCTATAGATTTAGTTATTACTGTTCAAGTCTAAAATATATTGAGAATGCAATTAATGATTGAAGAACAATAAGTAAGGATGCTTTTTGATGCATTTGTCTATTGACTAAATCATAATTTGGACAAGAGAATATTAATTCTTGTATAAAGAATTTTTGTGGATTAATATAAATCACTACCATCAAAGTGCGATCATTTTTATTGGTTCATAATTTTTTTTTTGTAATTTGAGGAATGCTTTTAATCTTTACATTTAATTGTTTGCTCAAAAGGGGTATTGTATCTATAGGTTGAAAGTTGAATATGGATGGAGTTATTGGAAAATGCATCAAGTTGAGAGATTTTTCCATCCAAAGAGAATAATGTTTTGAGCTTGGTATATGTTGATAGATTAACCAACCTGTGAGGTATTGACCTAGGTAATTACCTTGGTTAGCATATTCTACCAAAAAGGGAATATGTTGTTTTATGGGCCTTACTTTGATAGTTTGTTTTCTTCTTAACCTATATCTTGTCTTATGATATGTTTTAATGCATTCATGTTATGTCTTGAGAGTGAATATTTCTATGAATAATTGTTTTGCATCCATTGAGATCCTAACTAGATCAAACTATAGTAAATGGAAACAAGATTTGAACTTATTTTTAAGAATTGCTGATCTTGATTTAGCCTTATGTGAGAATAAACCAACAGTTAATGCAGAAGGCACAATTGAACAAAAATAGTATTTGGTTTAGTGGGAGATGTTTGGCACGTTAAGTCTTATCGCTATTAAAAGTACTATTTCTGAACATATTTTGAGTGGTGTTCCAAAGAAAGGGACAATTAAAGAGTTCATCACTCTAGGAGAGAGGTACCAAATATCTGATAACGCTAAGTCTAGATGTTTAATGAAACAATTAATAGACATGAGATATGACAATGTTGGGGAGTAAGAGAGTTCATTAAGATATTTCACATTCAAACTAAGCTAAAACCTCACCAAATTGACCTTAATGAAAAATTTTATTGTCGAACATGCCTTAAATTGCTTATATACTTAAATTTATTCAAATCAAAACTTCCCATAATACCATTGGTGCAAAATAGGGTTTGAATTACCTTATCATCAAGTGTGTTGCTGAGGAAGAGAAACTTAAGAAAGAAAAGAGTGACTTATCTTTTATCTATCCATGACAAATCCACTTATGGTAAAGAAAAATGCACAAACACAAATAGCTCATTTAATGCTTCTTATAAATATCGAAGTTTAGAAAAATTAGGTAAAAGTTTATACTACAATGTAGGAGGACGTAAGCCATAAATCTTTAAGAAGAAGATTTGGTGCTTCTAGTATAAACGAAAAGGACATAAGAAATTTGATTGTAAAAATTTCTAAGGCTTGTGGAGGTAATTGCTTAACTCTTATCTATTATGAATCTAATATAGTTGACATCTCTATAGACTCTTGGTGAATTGATAGTGATTCACCATAACTCATATTGTTGTTTCTTTACAAGCATTCAAAACTCTGAGGGAGCCCAACCTGAGAGAAAGTAAGCTCAAGGTATGAAATGATCTTAAAGTTCTAGTAAAGAAAGTGAGAGATGTTAGTTTAGTTGTAAGTTATGGATTTAAATTAATTTTGAATAATACCTTTTATGTATCCTCTTTTAGGAGAAATTTGACTTATATTTCTTATTTGGATAAACTTGGTTTTAATCACTTTTGGAGATAGGAAAATAAATTTTATGTTAAACTCCCAAAATTAGTTGTAGATTTTCGATTGATGGTTTATATAAATTTTGTTTTATCTTTTGATAATATTTCTTCATCTTTAATTGTTGAGAATTCTATTGCTAAAAGATCTAAGGTTGAGGGAAAATCCTTAATGTTGTGGCACAAACATCTAGGTCATTTTTCAAAGGAAATGGTTGAACGATTAACAAAGACAAATATTTTACCTTCATTGAATTTTGATGATTTGGAAACTTGTGTAAGTTATATTGGGGAAAAGTTTAGTAAGATGAAAAAGAAATGTGCAATTAGGAGTACAAACATTTTAGAGATCATTCACATCAACATTAGTAGGCCTCTAATTCCTACGATTTATGATAAAAGGTATTTTATTACATTCACCAATGATTTTTCTGATATGGATATCTGAATCGTGCTAAAGGATACAAGTTTTTTTTTGTTCTGGTAAGAAGAGCAAAATAATTGAGTCCATGAATGCCAATTTTCTGGAGCTTAATGTAGTATATCATGTTATAATATTCAAAGAGACTGATGTTTTATCGCCAAAGACTATTGCGTTGCCACTGCCTACTCTTACTATTAACATTCTGACAGTTGTTCCAAATGAGGCTAAGGTTCAAAATGTTCTAATTGAGAATGAAAATTTGATTCAAAATGTAGCTACCCCTCATGTTGATAATATGTATAATCCTCCGATAATATGTATAACCTCCTATTGGAGTAGATATTTGTTCGTAAGCAAGTGTACCTATTGAAAAGTAATAAAGGGTTCTAAAATAAATTTATAAATTATCGTTCCACAAGGATTATTTCTAATTACTAAGAATTTATTGATTTAATTGTTTGAATAACAAAATTTATATTAAGCATTTTTAAAAATAAATCAATTATCAATGAAATTTAAAGCAAGTAACATAACACATTTCTTAACTGAACTTATAGAAAAGAAACTTAAGGCATATGAGTTTACTTATTCAATCATTTATATTATTCTTCTGTTTAATTCTAAATTCAATTTTTTTTGTGATTACCAACTATTCATACAAATACTATCAATACTTAATGATCATGTAATATTCATATTTTTTTAATCTAAATTAACATCTATAATGGTCATACAATATATCAATTAAAGAAAGTATAAAGCATCTATCAACTTGTTGATTTAATAATGATTGAAAGAAAAAAATTAGTTTCATTCAACAAATCTTTTGTCACGTTTTATCCTAGAGATCCATTAACTACTTGTGGTACGGTTGCCTACGATGTAATTAATTAGGATTATGTTAAAAATGATCCATTTACAACATACAATTATGCACAATAGGACAAATACTAATCATGGACAGAAATCAAACTTAGATTTAAACATCAAAATCACATAAATTCATTAATAAGAGTTCTCATAATCCTAGCTATGGACTTAGTTACTCATGCTATAGAAAAGAACTAAAACAATTATAAATAAAGACATAATCAAAATGAAATAGCAAACTAGATTATTCCTAAAGATTAGGGATGAAATGAGTTCTCGGTCTTCAAGTACGATCGCTTAATGCTCCAAGTTCTATTAAGAATGTGTCAAAGATTAAGAGTAGAGTTATGTAAAAGATATGTCATATGAAAGAATGGATGGGATGAAAACAAGATGAGAAACAGGGTGCTCAGTCGTTGCCCTAATGTCTCTTTTATAGGTTTGAAAATCCTAAATTTGCTTAAGATTTGGACTTCCCGCGAGTAAGCATAGCTGTGCAATAAACACGATTGTGCATGTGGTCAAATCATTCCCGTACTGACTGTTAGGATTTAAGCATGTTGGCTGCTGCAAAACTCTATTTTTTTTTTATCAATTTGGGATCAAAATGCACCAAAAACATAACTTTGGCCTTCTCATATTAATATGCATAATAATAATAATAGAAATTAGTGCAAAATTCAAGTAAAATAATGGGCATTCATTAATATATATATAGGTTATAAAAACATGTCAAAATACAGACTTATCAATATTTCATAGCCTATTCAACGAATTATACAGATTGCTTTGAGAAGATCAACTAGAGAGAGATGATATACTATTGGTGATGATTTTGTAGTCTATCTTAGTGAGAATACATACAATATTAGAGATGTTGTTGATCTAAAGAACTATAAAAAAGTTGTATCTTGTCCATAATCTGAAATATGAAAGCATGTGATGAATAAAGAAATGTTGTTCATGTTGGTAAATAATGTTTAGTTGCTTAAGAATTGTAAGACATAGGTCTTCAAAATGAAGAAGGGCTCAAATGGTAAGATTGAGAGATTTAAAGCAAGACTTGTGACACACAAAAGAAGAGAATTGACTTTAAAGAAACTTTTGTCCTCGTGTCAAGCAAAGACTCCTTCAGGATTGTCATGTCATTGATTGTTCACTTTGATTTAGAGTTGCATCAAATGAATGTGAAGACTAATTTTCTAAATAGTGAATTGAATTAGACAGTATACATGCAACAACTTGAGAGATTCCACATTGATGATAGTAAGAACTCGGTTTGTAGACTCAAAAGGTCAACCTATGGTTTTAAAACAAACTTCTAGATAGTAGTACTTAAAATTTGATGAAGTGATAACTTCTATAGATTTTAAGGAGAATAAATTTGATCAATGCATATACCTTAAGGTCAGTAGGAGCAAATTTATCTTCCTAGTGCTTTATGTGGATGATATATTATTGGCTTGTAATGATTTTGGCATGCTACATAGGACAAAACAAATGTTGACTAAATCCTTTGACATGAAGGATATGGGTGAAGCTTTCTTTAGGTTAGGAATTAAAATTCATAGAGATAGATCATAATATATGCTTGGATTATCTCAAAAGGCTCACATTAATAAAGTTTTAAGGAGATTCAATATGCAAAATTTTAAACTTGAATATGTTTCAGTTGTTAAAGGTAACATGTTCAATAAGGATCAATGTCCTAAGAATGAGATTGAGCGAGTAGGAATGAATGACATACCTTTTGCAAGTGCATTGAGAAGCCTCATGTATGCACAAGGTTTGACATCGCTTTTATAGTCAGTGTTTTAGGTAGATATCAGTCAAATCCTGAAAATGATCACTAGACAGCTGCAAAGAAAGTAATGAGGTACTTACATAAGACCAAAGAACATATGCTTATGTATAGAAGTGTTGACAACCTTGAGATTATAGGATACACAAATTCAGATCTTGGTAGGTGCCTCGATGATAGAAATCGACTTCAGGATACGTCTTTATGATAGTTGGAGGTGCAATACATTAGAAGAGTAAGAAACAAACTCTTGTTGCTTCTTCTACTACGCGAGCAAAGTTGATTGCTTGCTATAATGTTGCTACTCATGCTATTTGGTTAAGAAATCTAGTGAAAGAACTTTGAATTATGAACTTATTGTTAGGCCACTGAGGGTTTTCTGTGACAACAACGTTGCAATGTTCTATACAAAGAATAACAAGATTTCTAAGTAGATCTAAGTACTTGGAGCTAAAGTATTTGATTGTTAGAGACCTTGTAAAAAATGGTTCAATAGTGATAGAACACATTGACATGTATTCCATGTTAGTTGACCCCTTGACTAAGGGACTTAGGCCCATTATTTTCAAAAGGTATGTTGACAAAATGGATATTATGGAATCTTTTGATGTATTTGGTTAGTAAGAGTTTCTTTTTGGTTTTATATTATTTTACGTTTATTGGATTCTTATTTTTGGATATTAGTAAATGGTGTATTGATGACATTTTGCATTTGATTTGATGAATGAATGATGAGATATTTTTTCAAATGTGAATTATTGAGCTCGACATTGTTGGAATCACTATGATAGTGGTAGATGCTAGTTGGAGCTAAGACATAATGGTTCGTAATGAATTATGTAATTTATTTGACTTTTAAGCATTTGAGAGAAATTAAGGACTAATGTGAAAAATGATAGTATAACTATTTGATCATATTAACAGATCATTTTTTCATTACACTCCACATTGATAACTAGTCAATAAAGTCAGTGATATTTATAACCATGGAAGGAGTTGCGTCAATAAGGGATGCAATTGCTGCCATAATTCGATATTGCATTATTTTGTTGGATGAAATCTTAATTAAGTGTTGTATCTTGGGATCATATGTTTGTGGCCACAACATATTATTAGCTCGAGAGTTAGTTTTTTATAAATTTCCAAAAGTTATATAATACAAAATTGATTTTGCCTAAGTGAAAGAATGTTATAATTATTTTTATAAATTTATTATCGATTACAATCAGTTGTAATTTTTTATTTTGTCAAAAATTGGCTAATATTGTGATCCATTTGAGGATGTTTAAGCCTACTAATACTATGATAAATTATTTATGAGTTTTAGACACTCATATAATGTGAGATTAACCTCTAAGCTCATGAAGAGAAGTGCCTAAAGTTAATAAATATTATGGTTAAGTTCCCTTTACTGTCACGGAAATACATTCCATTGCTCTTTAGGTTTGTCCCATGTAGAATCAAGGATTAGGAAAGCCTGATTAGGTAAAGGAAGATATTGGTTTTTCACTCACAAAGGATTTGTACTTCACATAAGTTGTCTATTGTACAATTTACAATGTCTACAACAAGTAAGTGACTTTATAATTACTTCACAATTGGTATTCTAAATTCATATAAAAGATCTATGTAAATTTTATTCTCCTTAAACATGATCGGCTAAACTTGTAAATTCTCGGCAATAATATTGAACCGATCCCGTTTGCATTAGTTTAAAAAGGGTAGAATGATGGCACTTATAAGGAGATGGGCCAAATTCTAGTTCCACGAATGAGGTAAAACCAATCCATGATTGAAATGAATTGTTCTTAGCTATCATTTGGAGCCGAAGAATCACACTTGCTTCCATATGAACCTCAACAATAGTAAGACATTACTCCTCTAGAGTATTGTAAAATATGAAAAATTGTTCTGCCCTAAAGATCCATTTTGGCACTATTGAAACGGTTGCACAATGGGTTGTGCATATCGAGATTCTAACGCTTTCGATGATGTATTAGTTACATGCAATAACGTAACTTCAACCTCAAGGCTCTCAAAACAAGTAGAATATTTTGCGTGTTGAGATTCCATCGACTCTAAAATTCACTTGACATCTAAGGACAATTGTGTGACATTTGTGGAAAGCTCCTTCAGTCGAGTGTTTTTAGCCATAAATGGAAATGAGTCGAGATGAAAGCACTAATGTAACTAGGAAACATCAAATAAAAATTGAAATAATAAAAGAATGAACAATGGATGGTATGAATAAATATCGGTAAACATTATTGTATCGATGTGTTTATTACAATGAAGAAGAATGTTATTATGCAACAATAGCCACAGCAGATACACTAAATAGAAGAAACAAAATGTAACAATTCCCATATTGTTCCCTCCTCCTCTTTCATACTTTATAACTAATTATTACCTCACACGTAATTTCTCACACATAATTTATCACCGTAATAAAATTATAGGATAACTTGACACTAGTCTATTCTTCATAATAGAATTATTCTTTTTCACTCTAATAAAATTATTCTTTTTTACGTTTATTTATTGAATTATCCTTGTACTATTTTCATTTGTGACAACATTTCATTTAACGTAATATGTTATTATTTTAAAATTTTTAATAACTAAAATACCCCGATATTAAGCTTTGAGGTCCGAAACAAGAGTTACGTCATAACCATCTAAGTCCGTCGCTAAGCGCGTGCGATCTTTTCTCTGTTAAATTATTGTTTCCCGCCTTTCTCAAGTTCGGAGTTAGAAGCCGTTATAGTATTTAAAGATAATTCAAACACAGTGTCTAGTTTTTCCTACTTTCATCACTTCCTCTTCACTCTGACGCTCTCGAGCTTCCACCTTCATTTTCTTTGGAGCCAAACGGCCAATTTACTCTCTCTTCTCACCACAACCAAACAAAACCTCTCGTTGTCGAACATCGTTTCATTCGGTAGCGGAAATCGTAAATCCCTACCATCTCTCTAGTTTTTCATCTTACGGTTTCTGTTTCCGCCGAGTCCACTTGGTTTCTCGGATCTGTAAGTCACGGATTTCTTTCCTCTTTTGAAGATATCTCTTCGCCAATCACTAAATTTCGTGTGTCTGAATTACAATTGCCATAAGCTTATGTCAAATTTTCTATTTACGAAGTTCAACTAATGCCGGTTATTGGAACTGTCGTAGATTCGTGTGTACTTGATTTGTGACCAGATTCTCTTTATTTTTAACGAACTAGTACTATATTGTATCAATCGTACATTTATATACCTCTGTTTATTTTCTACTAATGCCGGTTACTGGAACAATCATAGATTTATCAAATTGTACTTGGTATATCTTATTGCTAGAATTACAAATTATGATCTATTGGCGAACAGAGTTCTGACTTTGGAGGATGAACCAAAAGAGTGGTCTGAAATGTTCAAAGATGGTTCATGTGGCTTCATAAAAATTCCTTTTGTTTAACTCATTCTAAACAAGAAACATGTTCGTAGTACATCGGATATTGTAATTTTCCGTATTTTTTTTATTCTCGTGAATTATTAATAATTTGTATTTTCATCGCTTATTTCCACAAATGCTTGATAGTTGATACCATTCTTTCTGTTCTTATTATCATATTTGGTTACCACTTACCAGAGTGGCCACAGGCCAAGGGAATTGTCTTACTGATCTGACATTTTTATTTATTTATTTATTTTTGGTTTTTTCCTTCTTAAAACATCTATCGTAGATGATAGCGGTATTGTTTTTGTTAGTAGTTGGAATTATAGTAAGAGATTTTTATTCCCTACTTTAATTTAAACATGGCAGTTTTGTCCTAGGTGAGGTGAGAATCAGAAAGTTTACCAACCTCTGGGAATGACAGAACAAGGCAAGGAATCCTCAACTACAGATTCGAAGGAGAAAAATTCATCTTTAGGTTATGCTCTACATTGATTTTTACTTCTATGATGTAGGGAGTAGTACAAGTAGATTCCTTCTAGTTCTTTTTATCAAAACAAGTAGAAGTATGAGAAGAAGGAATGGATAATCTTGGAATTGATTGCATTTGATAGTAGTGCATTTAGTTATTGTATTTACTTTTCAGCACTATTTTGGAATTAGTGCATGTTGATGGTTCATAAAATTCAGGGAAGCATAGCAAATTTTTGCAGTTCATGTGTAGCTTTTTGGGTGGATTCCTAAATCTGCTCTGAATTTTATGTCTTTTTGGATTGAAATCAGGACTTTGGTTTCTACAAATGAAATACTGTAACAACAAATCTTATCATAGATAATCTATCTTCAATTTTCATAGAAAATGAAGTAAACACAATATTATAAGACCACAAGTAAAAGAAAATTCAGCAGTCATAATTTCTCAAAGATGTAAGTTCTTCGCACTACAATTAACGGTTATTATTTGTTTTTCAAAGTCATGCATTCCTTAATCCCAAGTATAGATGGTGAGAACCAAATATTTTTTTTTTTCTTTTCTTGAGGTTGTTTAAAAACAAAATTAATGATATTATGTAAGTATTACCATCTTCTGTACATTTTTCAATCCAAACAGATGATGAAATTGGAAAGGGGTTGCTTAGCTCCTGGAAATCCATGTCAATGGCAGATGATGATGCAATGGATTTTAGCTTTGACACTGTTTCTAAAAGCAAGAAAAAGACATTTGACTTTGAAAAACTGTAAGTCTTCCTAGTTCTCCAAAGTTAAGAGTTTAGGTTATGCAAAGTGAAAGATGAAGAGCACAGGCACTGTTATTGCTTTCATTCAGAATCCTTCTCGATTTTAAAATCTTCTTAATTTGACAGGTCACAGGTTTGATGTTTAGTATCTTGCACTTATACAAGAGAAGTGTGATATAATGAATTGAATTAAGTATTAATTATTTTGATCTCTGAGCATATCTCGAGTGATTACGATGTTTTATATAAAATAGCATTTCATTTAAGGAAGAAATTACCTGGATATACCTATATGCTTCTGTAATACAGCTGAGTTTTAAGTTACTAATTAGTTGTTTTACAATAATCTTTGCCAGGGACATAAATTTTAATCTGGATGGTGAGTTTGACAAGATATCATCGTTTAAGTTGGACATGTCAGATCTTGATTTCACATGCTTACCAAAAAAGACTTCGCAGTCTAAGGATAAAAAGGCAGAAGCTTCTGGTGCAAAAGCAGGGAAACAAGATGGGTTTAATTTCAGCTTTGATTTTAATGAGTAAGCGGGTGAAAATATTCAAGGAAATAAACATTTAATGTGCAGATACCTTATTTTTGGTTTCTGCAGCATCAATGTGAGTGATTTTAAGGTATAAATCTATTTTTACACATTTGTCTTTTATTGGCATAGGTTGGATAGCTTTAATCTTGATTCAAGCTTAATAAAAGTAGATACTAGTTCCAGCAGTAACCCAAGAAAAAAAGGAGTTACTACAGATGGAAGTGATAATGAAGCTGCTAAAATGCCAAAAACCAATGATGATGGTGTCCATACAACTAATGGTAGTTTGGCATTGAAACCCCCTGCGTCAGAGATGCTGGAAACTATGAAGGTTGAGACTTTAGATGGTAGCCTAGGGAATATAGTTTCCAAAGAGGATGGTTCTGTTTCCAAAATTTTATCCGCAGGGAATCTCGACCTGCTAATTGAGAATCAAACTTTTGATACAAGTAGATGTAAAAGTGCAGAAGAAGTTGATCAAGAAAGAGATATACCTGAGAAGACAAAGTCATCAGAATTAAAATCGGAGCAGGTTATCAGTATGGCACCTTCCCAGTCAGTAGGTAAGAGTGATTCAGAGCAGGACACTATCTTAAACCAGCGGACAAAAGTTTTTTCATCTGGAACAAGCGTCATCAACGTGTCAGGAGATACAGAAGAGGTTAACAATCAAGCGGTATATGAGCATACAAAAATGTTTTCATCTGGTAGAACATTAATTAATGTTTCAGGTGATAAACATGAGGTTAATGATAAGTCAACATATGTAGATTCTGATGGGGTAGACTTACCATTAGAACATACATCCCCTCCTCACATCAGTAAGTCTGATAGCAGTGTTGAAGAAGCAATTAATCTAGGTAGCAGTACCCAAGAAAGAGTTACTAATGACCCTCATCCAGAAAAAAGATATACGGGGTGTGAAAATATAAATAAAGCCGATGCCTTGAAGAACGTATCATGTGACAATGACACCGGAGAAAACCGAAAAACAACTTCTGAGTGTCATTTGGCTCCATCAAGCAGGTCAAATTATTATGATATTTTTCATTTTCATGTCTTTCTGAGTAGTAGTTCGTTTCTATTATTAGATGAGTAGCTGAAAATGCTATACTGTAAGGTAGCAAGGACATGAAGTTATTCTTTATAGATATATACTGCTTTCACAATGTTCATTCATTTGATGCAGTAAACATTTAGTTGATAAAATGATGCCAATGAAAGATAAAAAACTTCAAGATATGCAGTCAAATATGTTCAGCATGCCAGAGGACAAAAGGTCTTTAAAACTACCTTCGTCAACAGTTGGGACAAAAGGAATTTCCTTTGGAAGCAAAAAAAATGCAGACATGCACCTGGGATCCATCACCCAAGCACGGTGTGATATGATTTTCACAACAATTAAAGTTATTGAACTTTTAATGGTAGAATGTTTAATTTATGCCCTCAACAGGGAGAACTTCAGATCAAATGACACAATGCTTGGAAGCAAATTAGTAAGCAATTCCATTGAATGTTCCAGCAAACTAATTAGGGATGCAGCAACATTGCTTGATAGCAAAGATGATCCTAAAACTCGTAGCAATACCAGGTAATATTTACGTTCCTGGACTTCAGTAGTTCAGTTATACTAGAAGTTTCTTACTTTATAATCACTCTTTTCTCAAATGCATAAACGATATTTTTGCGGGGGTTAGCTTGTCACTTCCTTGTAATGAATGTGACTGTTATTTCTAATAATGATCAGGGAAGAAATTGCTTCTGATGTTATGCCAAGTACAGGCAAGTTGGCTGGAAATATGCAATCATTTCGCGAAGAAGTAAATAAAAGCAAGGCGACATTTCTAGAAAATAGCATGTCAACCAAAGATTTGACTATGTTGAGGTAAGGAAGAGGCTTTTGAGTGTTGACTTTGTTTACTGAAGTTGGTGGTAGAACTAGAAATAATGCACCTGAATCCAGATAATATTTTGTAATTAAGACTTTGTATGTTTGGCTTTGCTAACGTGCAGCACTCTGAATTAAATTGGTCATATTGGCAAATGTTTTTATTTAAATATAGCCAAAAATTTCCACTTGAATAATTATGACAATTTAACTATACTAGATGTCCTGGATTGGGTAAAAGAAATGAATTGAAGAATGGGATAAATAAATATTGAAGAGTTAGTTGATCGAACTATATGAATATAATGCATCATTACACGCATTTGTGTCATGGTCTTTCACCACTATGATAAAAATAAATAAATGAATAAATCTAAAGGTATTTCTTTGATGAGAGGTTTCATGATATATCACTTCTACTATCTTCACTGTGATTGTATGGTCATCAAAATTTAATAGGGCTTAATTGTTCATCAAACTTAATTTATATCATTCAATGCTTGGATTGTTTGGTGATAGACTTTTTGAAGATCACTTAATGTATATTTTGTTTTCAAAATAATATTGCCAACCATTTAATTCAATGTATTAGACTCTAATATTTACTTCATTTTAGTTATCTTGATTTCTGGAAATTAATGCTTGGGTGTAGTAAGATTGTTTTAGCTAGATTTTAAGATTTGAAGAAGTCATTTTTGGGATTATCATACCAATGGACCATAATTTGCCATTCTTTGTGGAATTTTTCAGTTCTCAAGTTAATCCTTCCTGCTTAACAGAAAAGACAGGTAGAACTACTAACCAGATATCGGTGAATTCTCAACCTGAAGCTTCAGGCAAGGAGTCCTCTGAGAAATCAAGAATTGCATCCATAGAAGGAAATAAACTCTCTTCTTTTAAATCTTGCAAGATCACTCCTACTCTTTCAAGCTTAAAGACTTTAAGGTTTGGTGCCGAGTGCATTACTTCTGTTTCTCTCTTTAATTACATGCTGGGACGTTTTAAATGAAGTTTTGGTTATCTCAGGAACATTGGAGCTAACAGGGTTCAAGCAACTTCTTTACATAAAAATGAAAAAAACTCCTTATTAAGCTTGGGACAGAGGATGGAGATACAGGGTATTACAGCACCTACGAATCACCATCTGACTGACAGTGGTGACAATCAGAAGTCTTCAACCCCATTCTTGAAGAGGAAAACTATTGAGGTTTGACATCATTAAAAGACTTATTTCCTTTTGAATGAATTGATGGAAAAGAGTATCACTCAAATGATTTGACACCCACCAGCACAACCTATGCCTGATCACATTTCTTTTCTTTTCTTTTTTTAATGTCATATCTGCAAATGTCTTCATTTAATATCCCCTGCTATGTACTTTTGGTACATAGTTCTTCCCCTTGGACCCTTGGTCAACACCCTTTTACTAAACTGGAATGAATTTTTTATGTTTCTTCAAAGAAAAAAAGATAAGGTAAAGAAGAGCATAGAAAGAACTTAAACTATATTACTCTAATGTAAAGATATACTACATTTGTTTTGAAAAGAACCATCTTAAGAGATTCTTGAAACATCTATAAGACTTAATTCCACAGGTTTCTGAAGCAGACTGTACATCCTTGAGGTCCTTAAAGCGCCTCTGTCAATCTCCTAGTAAAAGCAGGTCCTGCAGTACGAATTGATTGTTTTACTTTCAATAGATTCTATACTTTTTTTATTGGTTCTTCTGGATAAGTATCACAGTTCTTAACAGCTGCAGAAATTCTAAAGAATCTTCAGAAGAAGTTGTTGGAGAGGTACATAAAGTTTGGGGTTTATTTTATCTGCTGTCTTGTCATATATTTTGATGCCTACTGATAAATGCAAGGAGACGGGGGATATTTTAAGTGTGATAATTGTCAGTACTTTATTTATTTATTTTTATATATTACCTTAATTTATTCCATGAAAGACAGGTAGAGAGTATCCCCAACAACTTACTCTACAGTCATTCAACCTCTGGACTTAAAAGTCCATCGGAGATTAAAGTGACAGAAATGGAAATGCCTGATTCTGCGGCACTAATGGAAGATAACAGCAATGTCGAAAAGGCTGAAGCATATATGAAGGAACTTGAAGACGTGAGTGATCTAAACATATTTTTCTTCTATGGATTTGTTTACAAGCGTTATATTAAAATCATTCAATTTACGAGGTTACAAAATCATAAATAAATATATTTAAGCAATAGAACTGATATTGAAAAAACTAATAAATAACTAAGTAGTTATAACAGTTAACAAACAATAACAGAAAATAGCTATTACTGCATAACAGCGGATTTCTTTTTAAATGCAATTTCTTGCAGATTTGTAACATGCTGAAAAAGAAGCACGAGGAAGCAAAAGAATTATTAGTCCAAGCCATTGTGAACGACAATAACTTACTAATGCTTAATCATCCCATTTATGAAGAAGAAATATCCTCCCACTCTTCTTTTATGTCATTTCCTCCTATTCATTTAATGGTAGATATTAATGCTGGTTATTTCCTTGACATTTGTGAACATTCGGAAGGTTCAGAAATTTGCTTTGCAGTTGATGTCTAAGGGGATTCAAACTTGATCAGCTGCAAATTGTTGCATTTGAAGGTATGTATGCATAAAGATATTTGCAATGTACCCTATTTTGAACACTAAGATTTTTCAGGGTATTAGTAATCATTTGAATTTAAAGACCAAATACGTGTATTCCTTCAGTGTTGTCTGCACTCAGGACTTGACTAACCTTTGCCGTTTGCTTAAGATGAGAAATTGTTAAATTTGTCGTTTCATTGGTCTATTAAGGTTTTAAGTTTGCATGAACTATGAAGTATATATTGATGCATGTCTCAAGTCCGTTTCAACCTTTAATTGTCATCTATGACGGTTGATTGACTTAACTTTTTAACTGCGTACCAGAAAAATGGAAAGACAGAGAAAGAAACTAGCTTTTCAGCCAAAACCTTCTGCATGTATTTGAAGATTCTGGACTACGACTTTTGGTCCTGAGAATCAATGCTGAGGTTATACTGTTAGTAAGTTATCACTGATAATCGAGAATCATCTATGATTCTCATCCTTAGACATGGCCAGTCCAATTGAACGTGAAATAGCTTATAAACTATCGAGTCTCGAGAAATAGAGGGAGGCTCCGGCATATATCTAGCGCATGTTCAGGGTCTAGTTATTAGCCAGTCAACAATTGAAACTGAAGAATGTTAGTAACAGTTTCTTTTAAATACTCTGTCGGTTTGGAGAAATTTCTGAATAACATAGGTGCATTATGTATTAAAGGGGTTAGCATGAAATTTCCCTAAATAATTGGAAAAGGTGCTAGAAACAGCATCTACAAAGGAAACTAGGTTATTGAGAAAATTTTTAACACCAATGTGCCCTAAAGAGAATTTTTTTTTTAACTATAGTAATAGTAGCCGGCCTTATATTCAGAGAATTTGACTTCTAACTGCACTTAATGATATTATTTGATCAATGTAGTCAACTTCACTAAAGTTTGGTTGATGTTATTATTGTTGTTGTATAGTGTTGATAAAAGAAACTAATGTAGTCCTAGAACAAATTTGTGTTAAATCCCGTGGTGAGTCCACGAACGTCGTGTAAAGCCCCCTTATTTTTTGTCATTATTTGGTGAAACCTCTAAATAATCTGGGTCCAATATTTATCAGAGGTCAACATAAGATTTCACCCAATACCAATGTTATCAATGACGTACGGCAGCAAGCCTAATACCATCATTAAAGCAATGGCGTATTAACTGCGATGATGTTGCGGACTGTGGCTGAAGCGTGGTAATCATAATGAAGAGGAAGAAACGAAGGCATATACTTGAGGCATTAATAAGCAAGCTCTTCTAAATTTGATCTACTTGTAACATCTTAAATTTCTTTGGCAAGTAAACATCACGGGTGATATTCATCGTATATGCAGGACATTTGAAGGGAGTCTTCCGAGTGTTTCAGGCTGTAAGGCATAACGAATATTAGCAAATTAAACCATGAATTCTTTCAACATAGGGGTTAATCCTTCTCCTTCCGTCAACTGGTACTACTGCCCAGAAGGAAAACCAATCACCAACCAGTAAATTAGCAAGCATGTATGTTAATTAAATCAACTTAAACATCATAGGAAAACAAATTTTAAACTTGTAAGCAAGCATGCATGTTGACTAGCTTCAAAATAAGTCTGGCACACAAGCTGTCATTCGTGGTGGGAGTCTTTCAAAGGGTGAAAGGGTACATGGCGAGAGATGGGGATACTCGGCAAGACTAGTGTTTTTCTTTTTGCGTATCCGACATAGCAACACACTCATTAGGCAACAAATTGGCACTGGGGAGTTGAATAATGTGGCCGAGGATCAAACACAACAATTTTGGCTCTACTTATGATATATCCAAAATGTATCTTTATAGCACATTTGTCCAAACAGAGATATATATTTAACGTACAAGGACAAAAAAACCTTTTGACGATTAGCTGGAAGTGCTCACAAAGCTACAAAATAAATTGCACGTCAGACTCAGACAAATGTTTTTATGTCCTTGGACTTCCACTTGGATTACTATAACATAAAATAATGATAACGAGCACCTAATGCTGGTATATATATGTGCGTGTGTGCTGCATTTACCACATTGCTTGGATATAGCAAGTCTGTCAAGCATCTTCAAAATCTTGAAGGGAAAATGACTAGACTGAGTTTCTGTTTCTGCACTTTGCTCCTGTTGCTTTCATTATCCTTCTCTGAGACGCGGCCAATAAAGAGTCGTGATCCATTTTCTTCTCATTTCCCCCCTAGTTCTCTCTTCCTTAGTACTATCAAGCACTACCTTTATTCAGGATCTGAAGGCAGAAGCCTAGCCAACCCAGACAGTAAAAAATTAGGGAAAAGCGTTAAGGTCTCTGACAGCATTGGGTTCAGAAATAGTAATGCAACAAGAAGCCAGTACTACCGTCCCCGTCGAGTGAGTCCGGGAGGCCCAGATGCACATCATCACTTCTAACAATGAGCAATATATCAAGTTAATTTCTAAAATTATGAGTACAAATCAATTTAGTTTTTAAAATCAAACGCTGTTTGGTCTTTGAAATTACAAAGCATTAGTCACTGTTGTCCTTAACTTTTTTAATTTGAAAAACTGAAATAATCAGTACTCATAATTTTTGAGAATAATTTAATATATTTATAAAAAAAATCTGTTTGTGGAGGACGGGGAAGATAAATCCATGGCGTGTGTTGTGAAGAAGAAAAACGAAGATCCACTGTGTGTTTAAGTTTTTCTTGTATGAAGTTACGATTTATAGTGACGAAAATAAAAATGGATCCTTCTTTAAAATAGGGTCATGTTTTATTAGAATAAAAACACAAGCAAAATTTTCAATAAAAGGACTTTGTTTGGTACCCGAAGGTGGCAGTGGCTTGCGATGCCTTTTAAAAGGGCTTTGTTAGGTATTGTACGTTGTAATTGTAATGAATCATTATCCTAATGAATAACATGTTTCCTTTTCTTTAATCTGATTTGCGATCAGTCGGAGATAATGATTACTTAAATTATCGATCCGAATGATAAAGCAGACACAAATCATTGACTATTTGAATATTAAAGTTATATTAAATTTAAGTTAAATAAAAAATTTAGATTAAATTTAAATTTTTTTAAATTTATCAAAAAATATATATATATATATATATATATAAACTTTGTTATAACAAATCGACTTTTTCTAATAATAATAATAATTTTATACTTATATTTTTTAATAATTTTTTATTTTCCTTTTTTATGATATAATTTATTATATTATTTTGTTTATTATATATTATTTTGTTTCTTTTCTTCTATTACTCTCTTTTGTTGTTTAAATTTATATAAGAGAAATTATTTTTTGAAAGAAAGATAGATTCAAATTCTGATGAGAGAATTGAATGTTTACTTTCATTTTTATTTAATTGAAAATAGATTTATTTAAGTAAAAAAATAAAAAAATTTAAACAAACATTTTTTTTTCTTCTAATTCTTCCTCTTCCACTTCACAAAGTTTCTCTCTTCCCCCACCTTCCTTCTCTTTCTCTTTCACTCCCTTGCGGCCCCTACTCCTCCCCAACTTTCTCTCCTCCCTTTTCCACCTAACCCTCCACCCGCACTCTGTTATCCTTCCCGAAATCTTAGCAAACTTTAACGACTCTCTACTCACTTCCAAGCTTTCCTAACCTACACCCGCATTCTCCTTCTCTCCCGAAATTTCAATAGACTTCAATGACCTCCCACTTGCCTCCAAGCTTTCCTAATCTCCACGCGTTTCTCCTCCGTCCTAACGACAATGACCAAATTCGAAATAGACACAAATGGTTTCTTTTTTAGTATTATTTGACAATTGACTAAACTCTCACTTTAGTCTCTGAAAGAATTTAAGTTAAGCATTTTAGTCTTTGAGACATTTAAAATATCATGTTACTTCCCAACTTTTTTCTCTACAATTCATTTTAGTCTCTAATATAAGACCCGTTAAGAAACTGTGACAGAAGGTTAAGTTGTCATGTTAAGTGCTACGTCAGAATCTCACCTGACAGAAACAACGTCATTTTTGGAAGCTGTCTAATACCTCTAATAGTGAAACGATGTCGTTGTGATTCAAGGACCCAACTTAATGACCTCACTTAGAATAGGAATACCACATTCGTGACCAATTGTTGTCTTCTCTTCTGGTATTGTGACAAGATTTGCTAAAACAGCCACCGCCTTATCAACCATTCTAACAGCAAGGTCCATTAACTCTACAAGATGCTTCATAGCACCAGCTTGCATGATCCGATCCTTGTTTTCATGAAATATTGACAAATTAAACAAAGTAGTGACAACATCTTTTTTCCCTCTAGGGCTTCCATTCTCAAATAAATCAACCAATGGTCTAATTAGCCCAGACCTCCCTATCTTGATTTTATTTTCCTCAATTACCGATAAGTTGAAAAGTGTGGCAGCTGAGTTCTCCTTGACTTCTGAACTCCCTATCTTAAGGACATGAATCAAAGGTTCAATGGCCCCAGCATTTGCAATTGCAGTTTTGTTGTTATCATTGATTGATAAGTTAAGGAGTGTTGTAATATAATTTTCCTGGATTGTAGTATCAGTTGATTGAAGTAAATTAACTAATAAGCTAATGACACCAAAATTTGAAATCACTATTCTGTTATCCATACTGTGCTTAGCAAGAAGGTGGAGTTCTATTATTGTGTCTCTCTTAGTATCAAGAGAATTGTTCTTTAATTGTTCTACTAATTTTTGAACCTCAGTTTCAGTAGCAAATAGATTGTTCGTCATCTCCAAAACAAAAAAAATGACTCAATAAATTAAGAAAAAATATTTTTACCGAATTCTTTATCTGTTAGCCACTTCTTCCACTACAACGAACTTCAATCTATAAATATTTTACTTCTAAATACAATGACGAACAAAAATTTGGGCGATGTTCTATGTGCATTTAGGGTAGGGTTTTTCTTTGACACAAATTATGTCATTAAGTTAGGGCAAAAAGGGCTTGGATCACAATGACATCGTTTCACCATCAGAGGTGCTACGAAAGGTTCCAAAAATGACGCGTTTCTGTTAGGTGGGATTCTGACGTAGCATTTAACGTGACAACTCAGCCTTCTGTCACGGTTTCTTAACGGAGTCTGACGTTAGGGATTAAAATGAATGACAGGGAAGTTGGAGACTAACGTGATATTTTAAATGTCTCAGGGACTAAAATGTTTGAATCAAATTCTCTCAGGGACTAAAGTGAGAGTTTAGTCTTTGGCAATTAGAAGTAAACGAGGGCATAAGACGTTTTAAAAAAATTACAACTCTTAAAGCTATTTTAAATAAATCACAGGTTTGAAAATTTTTCTTTTTCTAAGTTGATCGTTATAATGTAGCACCTATGACAAGAATGATACCATTTTTAATTAAGTATTATTTGAAAATGTAATACAAATAACAAAATTCTTCATGCTTGAGGTCCATTGTAGATTCCATAATTGATAACAGGCTCCCAACGCCAACAAACATCTAATTATAATTATGCCTTTTTTTTTTTTTGGGTTTTGTCCCCCATGAGACGTCAGAAAAAAATAGGTAATGTGCAAAACATACTTTCCTCCGAGATAACATGTATTTAAAAATATCGAGATCTCAACACCCACAAAACACGTGATATCTGAGAGGCCCTAAGGAAATAATAATTTTCGAACCTACTTCTCAACTCCAAAAATTATAGTATGATTTGAAACTATTGCGTCTTTGTGATCATGGCTAATAAAATAAACCTGTGAGCAAATTTTTATTAATTCTTTCCCTAAATTTTAAAATATAATCATATTATATTTTTAATTAGACAGAACTATAGATACGTAATAACTACAATATTTTCTTAAAATTTCTGTTCGAACATGTATGGAATACGTGAAGGAGAGTGTCTGGATTATAAGTTTCAGAGACTTTTTTTTATATAAAATACTTTTTGATAATATATTTTAGGGTAAGGCTCTAACCTCAACTTATATACTACTATATGATATATTCCTAACTCACTTACGTAAAACCTATATTCTAAGAATATGAAAGAATTGTGATGTAATAAAACGCAATATAGAAATAAAAGCCGTATCCAATATAAATATTAAAAAGCCTTTCCACTCAGAAGGAAACAAAATAACTAGTCAATACATTTGCTTTAAGTGGAATACTAAAAAATATATTAAAGTGTCCATAAAAAAATATATATATAAAAGTCAATGGCCATAATATGGAGTATGTACAACTGCTAAAAACCACACTAATGCCATTACAGCAGAGGATAAGGAAAAAATATAATAGAGATGATATCTTCTAACCGAAGTGGATTTTCTCTTGACAAGTTAAATTCCTCCTGTCCTGCAGGTGCTATAAGATGCATTACTTGCATTTCTCAAATATGTAGATTATAGGATCGATATACTGATATTCATGCATGCTTCTCAGTAGTGAGTTGGGTCATAAACTATATTCGTCATTCTCATACAGGACGAAATTGTCGGTCTTTTAATACAGTGCCGACCAACATTAACAAATACAGCAACAAGCACTTGTGCAAACTAGTAGGTTGTATGAATACTAAATTTTATCCTATTTTATTTTATTATTATTTTTATCTATTTCTTTATTTAATTTTAATTTTGTAACTCATAATAAAATCATAAGAATTATAATTATAAAAAATAAATATATATTTTTTTAATATAACAATAAAATCCAAAACTGATCAGCTTCAGCAACCTACACCTGGTGATCGACTTTCCTAAGTTCAATCTAATGAAAAAAGAAAAAGTAGAAGAAAAGAAACCTCGTTGGAGCAAATTATAAAAAAAGTCTCTTAATCAGCTTTTAACCTGCAATCTGATACCCTTTGAAGTAAAATTTGAGGAAGTAGGGGTAGCAAATCATGATCTAGAAAAGCTATTAGGAAAGACGAAAAAAACACCTCAAATGCAATTTAAAAAAAGGACAAAGAAAGGGACCGAGAACAAAACTGAGGAAGGGAACAGGACGGTAATAACAAGAACTATTATAAAATAAATAAATATTTTCAACGTTATAATAAATTTTCAGTTCATTCTTGATCAAAAGTGATAATGAAAGAATTTAAAAACTTATGATAAGATATAGTTCGGTTAAGATATCCTTCTTCTTGGCATTTAGTAGTGTTTGGCATAATTATATATGTTATGTTCTCTTTTTGCATGGTGGTCTACCACCTGCTTGGTCAGGAGTATGTGAAAGTTGGTGATCCACAATCGTGGGGGTGTCCGCAAAAGACATTTCATTGTTGATGCTAGTGGCAATTTAAGAACAGAGCAATAACGTTTAGCCATTTAAGAATAATGCTGCAGATAGAGCAAAAACATACTACATATGGACTTCGTTAGGGATCCTTGACGATGGAGTTGTTCTGTAACAATCTTATAAGACATTGATTGGGAATGAACCATTACAACTATCATATTTATGGGGTTGGAGTTGGATTAGCCCAGGGTGAAATTGGATCAAGCATATTGGTAGTCGGATAATGTAGACTCACTTGGATTGGAAAAAAATTAACCCAGAATCTATCTTTTGGAGTTATGAAGTTTATGCATCACACTTCGTCTTCTATGATATGATTAATCTGAGTTTGGACTTACTTTACCTTGTACTCATGCTTTCTAACACTTCATCCCTCTTAATCTTAATCTGTATTCTGTGAAATCTAAATTAATAATGATTATTTACTTTTAATTATTTGTATTTTATCATATTTATTTATATATTTTCTCTCTCTACCCATCATATCAAAACGTTAAAAAGTAGGGACACATTCGAAGTGTCTGATTGTTCGAGTGTTCATGGATATTCAGTACCTTCAATCCTATGGAGTCAAGAGATCTTCTAACAAAGATTGTCTATATGTGCAAGATTTTGGATAACTTTAGGAGATTCACAATCACGCTAATTGGGAAGGCAAAATTGGGAAGGCACTGCATTAACACTTATTTTTTTAATCTTTCTTTGTCGCATCACATATTTTATCTAATAATCCTATACTTCTTTATCTTCTGTTTGTATTACTCTCCTTATTGAACAAAAAAATAAAAACATAAATTGGATTTGTCTTATAGAAATAAATGGCTACGGGGGATAGCACTTAAAATGCATGCAAGTCATTTGTTTAGTTGTTAATTACCGTAAAATATAGATAAATTTTTTAATAAACATTTGTAAAGAGAAAAAATAAAAAGGTAAAAATAAATAAAAATTTTATCAAAATTTAAAATTAAAGTATACACTTAAATTTTTATAGAATTTAAATAATAGTTTTTTTAAAAAATAAAGTATATAAGTTAATTTAAATTTATAAAAGAAGTTTAATTTATTTATTTTCTCTCATAAGTATTTGTTAAAAAGATTATTCAAAATAAAAAATTTACATTATTCATATAATATTTTATATTTTTTTTATATTAATAATCTAATCACACTTTTTCCTTCTTCTTATCTTTACCAAGTTTGCATTCAATGATAAAATCATAACCAAGTAGCTTAAGTAGCCATTTTTGCTACTTTGGGATTTGTATTATTTATTTAGTTAAGCTTTTCAAGCTTTTTTGATAAGTTCTTGTTACAAATTGATGGCCCAGCAAATAGTGCTTAAATTTTGCAATTGCCTCAGATATAAAATAGAATTTCCTAGTATATACCGATTGTCTTTGCACTCTTGGATTTAGCTTCTCAGAGAAAAAAAAAGCCATAGGATGATAGTCTTGACTTAGGACTGCTCCCACCCGTACCCATGTTCCCGAGACATTTGTTTCTAACATAAAAGTTTTGGAAAAATTAGGTAGAGCAAGAACCAAAGCTTGTGCATTGTTGTTTTTAAATTCTCAATAATTGTAGCAACATTGGAGTCTTAGTAAAAATTATCCTTTTTCAACAAATTAGTCAAAGGAGAGGCTATGGTTGCAAAACCTTTAATAAATCACCTATAGTATCCAGTGAGCCGCAAGAAACCTCTTAATTGCTTAAAATTTGTTGGATGAGACCATTGTAAAACTACTTGAACATTCTTTCTGTTAATTTCTAAACACAATGTGACTTGAATATTCCATCTCCTTTAATCCAAAAGAGCACTTAGATAGATTAACATACAACATATGCTTTCTCAATATTTGAAGAACCATCTCTAAGTTTTGCAGATGCATAAACTATGTAGGACTATATATCAATATGTCATCAAAGAAAACTAATATAAACTTCCTCAAAATGCCTTGAAATATCTTATTTATTAAACATTAGAATGTGGCAGGAATATTGGTAAGCTCAAATGGCATAACAAGTCATTTATAATGGCTTTGGTGAGTCTTAGTCTTGTGCCTATCATTTGGATGTACCAACATTTGATAGTAGGTTAATCTTAAATCCAGCTTAGAGAAGAATTAAGCTCAAAACAACTCATCAAAAAGGTCATCCACTATAGTCTCATCCTTCTTCTTGACAAGGATTATTGGAGAAGAGAAAGGGATAGCACTAGGTATTATGGTCCCTTCATTAAGCATGTCTTGAACCATGGTCTCAATTTGTTGTTTTTGGCTATGTGGATATCTATAAGGCCTCACTTTAATAGGACCAGTATCAAGCAACAATGCAATTGAATGATCTTATGACCTTGGAAAGGGTAATCCTTTAGAAATGTCAAGGAATTCCTAGTAGGTGTGTAACAAAATAGCCATCACAGGTTTCATATCATTTGGTAATTCTAACCACTAATC